AGAAGGAGAAGGGGGGAGAAGGTACAGAAAATAAGTAGCATAGATGGTAGGTAGAAAATAGATAGGGGGGAGGGCAAGAATAGTAGGGGAAATATAGAATCTAAAGAACTTGAGACACGTGGTCATAAACTAAAGGGGAGAATGGTGGGGGAGGGGTGTGCAGGGTGGAGGGGAATGAAGAAGGGGAAATAGAACTGCAATGGCATAATTAGTAAAATATATTTAAAAAAAGAATTATAAGTCATTTGTTAGGATGATGCAAATAATAAAACAGCTAACCATGTGTATTGAAAAAAAGAGTATTTTGCTAACTCTGCAATTTACTTTGACTTTAAATCTCAGCTTATCCCATTGTTCTGCCCAGAGTATGAATTGAGTTTGTACCCTTTTACAGTATACATCATCAGAATATAATTTTTTTTAAATAAATTTATTTATTTTTTTTTGAATTAATTATGCTGTTACAGTTGTTCTATTCCCCCCTTCATTCCCCTCCACCCTGCCCCCCCAAACCCCACCATTACCCCCCTTTAGTTTATGTCCATGTGTCTCAAGTCCTTTAGGTTCTATATTTCCCATGCTATTCTTGCCCCCCCCCCCATCTATTTTCTATCTACTGTCTATGCTACTTGTTTTCTGTACCTTCTCCCCCCGTCTCCTCCTCCCACTCCCCTGTTGCTAACCCTCCATGTGATCTTCATTTCTATGTTTCCACTCCTGATCTAGCTGTCCTTCTAGTTTGCTTTCGTTTTAGGTGTGGTTGTTAATAACTGTGAGTTTGTTGTCCTTTCACTGTTCATGTTTCTTTAACTTCTTTTTTCTTCGATAAGTCCCTTTAACATTTCATATAATAAGGGCTTGGTGATGATGAACTCCTTGAATTTGGTCTTATCTGAGAAGCACCTTATCTGTCCTTCCGTTCTAAATGAAAGTTTTGCTGGGTAGAGCAATCTTGGTTGTAGGTCTTTAGATTTCATGACTTGGAATATTTCTTTCCAGCCCCTTCTTGCCTGTAAGGTCTCTTTTGAGAAATCTGCTGACAGCCTGATGGGGACTCCTTTGTAGGTGATTGTCCCCTTACCTCTTGCTGCTTCCAGGATTCTTTCCTTCATTTTAATTTTGGCTAATGTAATTACGATATGCCTTGGTGTGTTTCTTCTTGAGTCCAACTTTTTTGGTACTCTCTGAGCTTCTTGGATTTCTTGGAAGTCTATTTCCTTTGCCAGATTGGGGAAATTTTCTTTTATTATTTGTTCAAATAGTTTTTCCACTGGTGGTTGTGTCTTTCCCCCTTCTGGTACCCCTATAATTCGGATATTGGAGCGTTTATAGATGTCCTGGAGGTTCCTAAGCTTCTCCTCATTTTTCTGAATTCTTATTTCTTCATTCCTTTCTGATTGATCATTTTTTTCTTCCTTCTGGTTCACTCCATTGATTTGAGTCCCAGTTTTTTTTATCTCTATGGTTTTCCTGTGGAATTCCATTCATTTCCCTTAATTTAGCCTTCATATGTTTCTCTAATTTGTGGCTATAGTCCACCAGATCTATGAGGAAGCTGATGACCAGTGTTTTAAACTGTGCGTCTGAGAGATTTGCTATTTCTTCGTCACTTAGATTTATCTCTGGGGCTTTGAGTTCTGCCTGCGACATTTTTGGTCTGTTCTGGTCCTTTAAGTGGGAGGAGCGGCGCCTTGGATTCCCAGGTCGCTGGGTTGTGACGCTGTATGTGGGGGCGTGGTCAGAGCAGGGAAATGGCAATGGCGCCGCCGCCGCCGCCGGGCCGTTCCAAGCGCTCACTCCCTCACCCGCGTGCAACCATGCAACTTCAGTCAACTCGCTGCCACCGCCTCCCCACTGACTCCTCCGTAGTCGCTCACCCGGTGGGCCGCTGGGTAGCTCACTAGGTCCAATCCTGGGTTTGGAACCCGTGCGACTGGATTCGGGCGTCTGGATTCCGCGCCCGGGTCGACTCCTTTGTAACTCCTCACCCGACGCGGGTTTCGCCCCTTACCGGTCGGGCCGAAGAATTTGTTGTTAGCGGACTTCCGAAAAGTTCAGTTTTCCGTGTTCTGGTTGTGTTTTCTGATGCTAATATTTAGTTGTCCCTAAACTTGGTTGTGTGAGGAGGCAGGCACATCCACCTTAAACCTTCATCTTGGCGGAAGTCAGAATATAATTTTTAATGATAATGTTAAAGAGCTTAATTGACTTTGTCTTTGCTTGACATATTCAGTGAGCTAATGAGCAATGGCATAAGAAAGCTTAGCTTATCCTAGCACTAAAGATTTCTATACAGTTTCTGCTCATCTTTCATTTTCATTTGCTGCTGGGAATAAATTACCTTGTAGAGAATTCAAGGTTTATTTTGAATTTATAAGAATTATTTTCTTATACATAATCCCATTTTAATTTTGGACCTCAAAACTCCAGGATATATATATATATATATATATATATATATATATATATATATATACACACACACACACACACATATGTATATATATATATACACAAATTTGTGTATTTACATATATATACACATACGTACATATATATGTAAAGATTTGGTAGGTAATAAAACTGGGTTCCAAATCCATGCTTTCTGAATCAAAGTTTTATGCTCTCTCTCTATATATATATATACACACATACACACAAAATTTATAATTACTTGTTCCCCTCGCTGATGTCCCTTCTGGTAATATCATTGTCTACCTCCCTTACACTTTCCGGTATTCTCACTATTATCTCTTTTGGCCATGTTTTCTCTTCACATCACATTTTCAGATTCTCTTCAGATTACCTTTGCTTACTATAATTTAATTTTATTGCACAAGCAAGACATGTTGCTTACTTCTGAAAAAAATGGAAATTGCGTATTAAGTCACGGAAAAAAACTTTAAAATTTTTCTTATTTTAGAGAGGGAATAGGAGGGAGAGAGGAAGAGAAACCTTGATTGTAGAAAGAAGTATTGACCTATTGTGTCCCAACCAGGGACTGAACCTGCAACCCAGAAATGTGACCTGAGCATTGAACCAGAGACCTTTTGCTTTGCAGGGCAATGCCCAACCACACAGGCAAGGCAAAACTTATTATTATTGATTTTGAGAGAGTGAGAGGAAGGGAGAAACGATTTGTTGTTCCACTTACTTGTGCATGTATTGGTTGATTCTTTTCTGGTTTTGATGCTATATTCACTATCATTGGCTAATTCTTGTATGTGCCCTGACTGCAGTCAAACCCACAACCTTGGGGTACCGGGATGATGCTGTAGCCAACTGAGCTACTCACCAGAGCAAAAAAATATCTTCTTTACCCACAGTTTAACAACGTTAACATGTTGGTATATATACTTGATAAAGACACGATACTTATTTTGTAATCAGTTTTTTTTTCCTTTAACACATTATGAACATTGTCCTGTGATTAAAGTAGTTCATGGATCAATGACATATAAATTCCATTGGGTAAATATTCCATTAAAATTTTTTTTAAATTTTTAGTTGCAGGGCTAGACTTTTATAATTATCACTGCTTGTAAAAAACATCATTTATTCCAATTTATTCAGTCCTTCAGCTTTTCTTTAGTTCTTTCAACGAGTGATCAGTCTCCATTTCTTGGTTGACTTTTGGGTCAATAATAGTTCTTGATAACAGTGCTGTACTTCTTAGTGATCCATGTCAAGAAGTTACTTAAAGTAGAAAATTCTTACAGGCTTGGGACTCTGTTGTAATTTGTTTTTTTATGACGAGACACACAGATTATGTGAAGTTTTTACCTTACTCGTAGTGAGGGAAAGGGAAAGAGAAAGAAACACCAGTGTGAGAAGCTTTGATGAGTTACCTCTTTCATGTGCCCTAACAGGGGACCCAACCTGCTACCCAGGAATGTGCCCTGACCAGAATCAAACCACTGACATTTTGCTTTGTGGAACAATACCCAACAAACTGAGCCACACTCATCAGGGCAGTAGTAGTGCTTATATTTACTTTCTTAAATACTAAGTTCAAACTATATATATTTAAAATAACAGGTAACTAATACTCTTCTTTTGCCTTTAAAATTTTAAATTTACCTTATCCAACAATTAATCAATGCAAACTTAGTAGGCACATTTGCAATGACACAAGTCAGTGGTCAAAACTAATAAAATGTGGAATCCATAATTATGGTCTCAATGATGCATATCATAAAGGGTTGAAGCACGTTTAATGAGGCATTCAGGTTTACAACTAAGGTTAAAGAGTCTAAACCAGGTGTTGGCCAACTAGGCCAGAGGCCTGTTTTTGTTTGTGCTGAACTAAGAATGTTTTTCACATTTTTAAAGACTTGTAAAAAACAAAAACATAAAGAATATGCCACAATATGTCTGTGGCTTACAAAGCCAAAAATATTTGCTTTCTGGTCCTTTACAGAAAAAAATGTGCCAACTTTAGATCTAAATTATAGGAACATAAAATGCACTTAGAAGAGAAGATCAAGTATTTAAAATTATGTTTGTAACTATAAAACAGTACATTTAAATAGAAAAAGTAACCAAGTCTTTACTCTCCTTTCAGCTTAGTTGCAAATGACATAAAAACTCATTTTTTGTTTTATTTTTAGAAGTCATAGATTAATATAAAAAAAATCACAATTTAAAAAGCACCCAAACACATTTAAAAACTGATTAGTGACACAAGAAATAAAAGAAAATGAAGACAGATCACAATTGTAATAAAGTGATCATAAAGTAAACTACGACATAGAATCATAGAATTTTAGAACAAGATGGGACCTTAAAAATCACCTAGTTCAGTCCTCATATTTTAGATATGAGAAAACTGAGGCCTAGCTTTGGCAAGGGACTCACCCAAGGTCACATACCTACATTCCTACAAAGCAAGAACTATAACCCAGATCAGTAGAGATAGGTCAATATTATACTCTATGCTGATATATTTTTCCATTTTAACATATACAGGATTTGGAAAAATAGGACACCTTTCACACATCTACAGAAATAAATCCTTTTATTTTATAACATTCCTTTTCTTTAAGATGCATACAGTACTTATAGCCCAAGAATTCTGAGAAAAGCTATAGAAGACCTGGCACTATTTTTGAGAATTACACAACTGGGCAGCAAAATAACACCTTTATAAATGTCAGGACATATAGAAATAAAATTTAGTGTTTGCCCCCAAAACAGGGAAGTTACATTCAATACATTTTCTTAAATGTGCATTTTTAAAATGTTTAAATGTTTTCTAAAACTTTGGTCGCCATGCTTTATTATAATTTGTTAAGCTTCACAATTATGTAGATGATTAAACCCAAGTGGTAAGCAAATGTTTCACATTAACACAAAACATCAATAGCAAGCTAATACTGCACAATCATATTAGCAGACTGATGAGAAATACATACTTTTCAAATAGCACACAAAACTTTGTGATAACATAATTCAATGACTTTTCTTCCACTTCATAAAATAAAGTTGAGTAATGAGACATAGAAGAACATGATTACATAATAAAAAAGTATATTTTTTAATTACAAATCTTATTGTACATACAGGGCAACAAATTGTGATTTCTATAGAACAGTGCAAATGAGCAGGAGTTTACTCAAAAATACTAAAATTGGATTCACTTCATGTGACTCAGATTTCATGAGTATTAAGGTATATTAATTATTTTAGGTTTTTGTTTGATGGGACAAGTGGTGCGTTTGATATAGGAGAGATGTATTCTTACAGGCTACAAATAAAAATAGCCATTAATTTAACTTACTAATGAGAAGTACAGGCACTGAAAATGTAACTTTAAATGTTCCATTTAACATCATGTAAACAGTTCTGTTTCTCATACCATATTTCATGAAAGATTCGTAATTCATTTCAAATTGTCATATTAAGCAATTCCTCTAAACTCTTTTTAATATGTGGCGGTTGAGATGCAGCCTGATTTAACAGATTCTGGCCCATCTGTGCAAAAAGTGCTTTTGATAATTTAGCTGTGGCTATTCGTATATTTCCTCCAGCTCCAGGCAGAGAGCCACTATTTGTCATGTTCCCTAAGAGATGCCATAAAACAACCAACACTTTCTGTTCTGTGGCATGGGGCTTTCTTTGATAGAGTTCCATAACAATATCTGAAATACAAAAATATGGTAAATCATGAGGTTTAAAAAAATAAATTCAAGTTCTGCTAATTATATACTAAACTTCTTCCCAATGCTATTTTTCTAAAATATTAGCCATCCTATAAGAAGTAGGCCAGAAACTTTCACACCAAAGATTGAAATCTTCAAGTATTAGAACTTTATATATGATTAGTTTAGACAAAAGCAGTAAAGATGGCAATGAAACCCACAAACATCTCAATGTTTTCCAAATGCAGTTAATTAAAAATATAAACATTTTTGATCCATGAACCATTTTATCAAACACATCATTTGAAATAGCAGTTTTCTGTGAACACCAATATTTGATTTTAATTATTTTGATTTATCCAGCTTATTTATATTAATAGGAAAACTAAGCACTTACTGTAAAAAAACTGGATAAAATTATTTTAAAGAAAATTCAGGGCATAAAAGTCTTAAAAGATCCTCTTGTGGATCACTATAGAATTTATTTCTACCTCATGAGTAATAATATTGAATTTGGTAGCTATCCTAAAATTAAAATATTGATCAGTTTATCTTTAATTAATAAAATATTTATTTAGAAATAAATTTAAAAATATTTACCAGCAAGCTTTTCAGTCATATCCTGTTTTGCTTTTCCATTTAGAAACTGAGCTTTTGTGCAAAATGGCTGTAGAAGCAAGTAATTGTCTAAACAAAAAGAACACAGAGACATGTTTAAAGAGTTATGAGATCTTAGTTTTCAATTACATAGCATTGAAAGCAAAAAAATATGCACATGATTACAAATGTGTTAAAAAGATTTTAAAATTCACCTTGCTCACCACTATTAAAAATTTCTTTATAAAACCCTTAATAGAGTAATATTCTTAAAGAAAATGCGACATAAAAACACAACACAAAATATCAAAGGAGCTATCATATATGTATATATACACACACACATATATATCTCCATCCAGAAAAAGTACATCCATTGTTAATATAATAAAAGTGGATTGCAGAACATTGATGTAAACTGGCAGCCAAGGAGAGTGGGCTGGAATGTGCATGTGTGAACAATTAACTTCACTGTACTAGTCAGTGGTGATGAAAGATGCCATCGAATGAGCATGACCTCACATTCAAAATGAGCAGGTAGAGCAACAGATTTGCATCAAATTTTGCCTTAAGCTTGAACATTCCTCTGTGAAAACTATTTGGATAGTTCAGAAGGCTGCAGCTATGGGCAGCTTCATTATGACAATGCACCTGCTCATACATCACATCTCATGCAGTTTTTTGGTGAAACATCAAATCATGCAGGTAACTCAGCCCACCATCAGCACAGATTTGGCACCCTGTGACTTCTGGTTTTTCCAAAAACTAAAATCACCTTCGAAAGGGAAGAGATTTCAGACCATCAATGAGTTTCAGTAAAATACCACAGGGCAGCTGATGATGATTAGGAGAGCTGTGAGTTACCAAGGTGCCTACCATGCAGGAGACTGAGGTGTCATTGACCTATGTACAATGTTTCTTGTATCTTCTTCAATAAATGTGTTTATTTTTCATATTACATAGCTGGATACTTCTGGACAGACCTCATACATAAAGAATTGTTTATCTTCTAGGCATCTTATTGTAAATGGTACTATATAGGTTTTTCAAAAAACAAAAATATGATTGCTTTTGGAGTTAGTTTTTATCTTTACTGATTTTGCCAAAATTTTTATTTTGAAATGATTACAGATTCACAGGAAGATGAAAACACAGTACAGAGAGGCCTTGGATGTCTTTCACCCAAGGGTAACATCTTACAAAATTATAGGTGCCCTCTACTTTGATCTTACTCTTTATTGTACTTTTTTCCATTATCATTTAGTCCTCTTATGGCCTCCACCCTCCAGCAACCCCCACACTGTTGTGCATGTCCATGAGTCCTTTTTCCATTTTGCTCAATCCTTCCACACCTTCACTTCCAAACCACCATTAACTGTCACCTTGCTCTCCATCTATGAGTCTGTCTCTATTTTGCTTGTTAGATCAGTTTGTTCATTAGATTCCACATATGAGTGAAGTCACATGGTCTTTCTCTGACTGGCTTATTTTACTTAATATAATGTTCTTCAGGTCAATCTATACTGTCGCAAAGGGGAAATTTTTCTTCTTTCTTAAGGCCAAGTAATGTACCATTGAGTAAATGTACCATAGTTGGTTTATCCACTCATCTACCGGAGAACATGTGGGCTGCTTCCAAATCTTGGCAATTGTAAATAATGCTCCAAAGAACATGAGGGTTCCTATGTTCTTTGAAATTAATGGTTTGGATTTTTTCAGATATATTCCCAGAGATGGGATTGCTGGGTCAAAAGATGGATCGACTTTTAATTTTTTGATGGATCTCCATACTGCTTTCCACAGGGGCTGCACCAGTCTGCATTTCACCAGCAATGCAAAAGGGTTCCTTTTTCTCCACATCCTTCCCAGCACTTGTTTCTTGATTTATTGATGACAGCAATTCTGACAGATGTGAGATGGTATCTCATTGTGGTTTTAATTTGTATTTCCTTGAAGATTAATGACGTTGAGCATGTTTTCAGATGTCTATTGGTCATCTGTATGTCCTCTTTGGAGAGGTGTCTATTCAGATCCTTTGCCAAATTTTTTATGTGGGTTGTGGGGTTTTTCGGTGTCGACTTTTCTATTTTATAAATTTCAGATGTTACCCTCTAATCAGATATATCAGCAAATATGTTCTCCTATTCTGTGGTTTGTGTTTTTATTTAGTTGATTTCCTTTGTTGTGTAAAAATTTTTTACTTTGATGTAGTCCCATTTGTTTGTTCATTCTTTGGACAAATACATCCGATAAAATACTGCTACCAGCAATGTCCAAGATTTTGCTGCCTATATTTTCTACAATTTTTATGGTTTGGGGTAGAATATTTAAGTTTTTGATCCATTTGAGTTTATTCTTTTGTGTGGTGTACAAAGGTGGTCTAGTTTCAGTTTTCTGCATATACCTCTCCAATTCCCCCAAAACCATTTAATGGATAAACTATCTTTAGTCCTTTGTATGTGCTTGCTTCCTGTGTTTAATAATAATCGACTATAAAGGTGTAGGTTGATTTCTGGGCTCTCTATTCTGTTCCATTGCTCTATGTGTCAGCTTTTATGCCAGTACCATGCTGTTTTGATTACTATAGCATTAAGTACAGTTTTGTATTAGCAAAATTCCTCCAACTATTAGGTAGCATAATTCCTCCAACTCCAGGAATCTTATGATTCCTGCTACCACACAGACCCTTTTGTGGTTCTACATAAATTTTTCAAATATTCATGCTAGTTCTGTGAAATATATCACTGGAATCTTAATAGGAATTGCAAAGAATCCATCAATTGCTTTGGGTAGTATGGATGTTTTAATGACGTTAATTCTTCTTATCCATGAGCATGGTATGTGCTTCCATTTGTTTCCATTTTCTATTTCTTTCTTCAGTGTCTTGTAATTTTCTGAGTACAGGTCTTTTATATCGTTGGTTAGGTTAATTCCTAGGTATTTCATTCCTTGTGTAGCAACTGTGAATGGGATTGTTTCCTTAACTTCCTTTCTGCTGGTTTGTTACTGGCATATAAAAATGCAAGTTATTTCTCAATATTAACTTTGTATCCTGCTATTTTGCTGAACTCATTTATCAGTTCTAATAATGCTTGGTGGAAACTTTGGGATTCTCTATGTACACCAGCAAGTCATCTGCAAATAATGACAATTTTACTTTTTCCTTTCCAATTTGGAAGCCTTTTATTTCTTTTTCTTGTCTGATTACTGAGGCTAGGACTTCCAGCACTATGTTGAAAATGAGATGACATGCCTGTCTTGTTCCCAATCTTAAGGGGAACATATGTAGTTTCTGCCCATTGAGTATGATGCCAGCAGTCACTTTCTCATATATATTTGCTTAAGTATGTTCCCTCTATTCCCATTTTGCTGTACGTTTTGATCATAAATGGGTGCTAGGTTTTTATCAAATACTTTTTTTTGCATCTCTTGATATGATCATATGGTTTTTATCCTTCATTCTGTTTATGTGGTGAATCACATTTATTGATTTGTGAATGTTGTACCAACCTTGCATTCCTGGAGTAAATCCCACTTGACCATAGTACAGGACCTTTTTGATTCATGGCTGTATTTGGCTTGCTAATATTTTGTTTAGGATTTTAGAATATGTTTATAAAGGATATTGGCCTATACTTGCTTTGTAGTGTATTTATCTGATTTTGGAATTAAGATAATTCTGGCCTCATAAAATGAGTTTGGGAGCCTACCCTCCTCTTGAATTTTATGAAATAGTTTGAGAAGGAGAAGTGTTAGATCTTGGAATTTTTGGTAAAATCAACCTGTGAGGCCATCTGGTCCAGAACTTTTGTTTGGTGGCATATTTTTATTACAGCTTCAATCTCACTAGGTATAATCTGCCTATGCAGATTTTTTTTTCTTGATTTAGTCTTGGAAGACAATGCTTCTAGGAATTTATCCCTTTCATCCTGATTGTCCAGTTTGTTGGCATATGATTGGTTCATAGTATTTTCTTACAACCCTTTGTATTTCTTTCATATGTTGTTATTTCTCTTCTATCATTCTGATTTTATTTATGTGGGTCCTTTCTCTTTTTATCTCAGTGAGTCTGATTAAAGGTTTGTCAACCTTGTTTTATTTTTTCAAAGAACCATCTCTTGGGTTAACTGATCTTTTATATTGTTTTATTAGACTCTTTTTCATTTATTACTGCTGTGATCTTCATTATTTCCTTAATTCTACTCACTTTGGGCTTTATTTGTTGTTCTTCAAGTTTGTGTAAATATGAAGTTAGACTGAGCTTTTCCTTGTTTATTTGTTTGTTTTGAGGTAAGACTGTAATGCTATGAATCTCCCTCTTAAAATTGCTTTTCAGCATTCCACACATTTTTGGTTTTGTTCACATTTACATTTGTTTCAAAGTGTCTTTTCATTTTTTTATCTTATTGTTGATCCATTCATTGTGTAACAACATATCATTTAGCTTCCATAATATCTTTGCATGATTTTCAATGTTCTTCTTGTGAATTGATTTCTAGTTTCATAGCACAGTGGTCAGAGAAGGTGCCTCATATAATTTCAACCTTCTTAAATGTATTGAGGCTTGTTTTGTGTCCTAACATGGTCTATCCTAGAAAACATTCCATGTGTACTTGAAAAGTATGTATATTTTGCTGCTTTGGGTGAAATGCTTTTAAGATATCATCAATTAAATCCTCTTGATCTAGTGTGTCATCTAAGGCTCCTGTCTCCTCTTTGATTTTCTGCCTGCAAGATCTACCCATTGAAGTCAAGAGGGTGTTAAAATCCCCAACTATGACTGTATTTCTATTGCTATCTCCCTTTATGTCCATTAGACTTGCTTTACACACTTAGGTGCTGCTGTGTTGGGTGAGTAAATGTTTACTACAGTTGGGTTATAGCTCCTTGTTTGATTGTTCCCTTTATCATTATGCAGTGAACTTCTTTCTCTCTTATTATTGCTTTGGTTTTAAAAGTCTGTTTTGTGTGATATAAGCATTGCTACCCCAGCTTTCCCCCCCCCCTTCCATTTGCATGAAATAGTGTTTTCAAGTTCCTTTACTTCTGGTTTGGTTTGTGTGCATCTTTCAATCTGAGATGAGTCTCTTGGAAGCAGCAATATATGGGTCTTATTTTCTTATCCATTCAGCTACCCTAGGTCTTTTGGTTGGCCCACTTAAGCCATTTGCATCTAAGGTAATTATTAATAGATACCTATTTAGTGCTATTTTGTTATTACACTGTTTTCCTGTTTTGTTTTCTTTTTCCTCCCTTTTCCTTGTTCTTTTTCTTAAAGCAAGCCCTTTAACATTTGTTGCAGTACTAGTTTGGGGTTAGTAAACTCCTTTAGCTTTTTCTTGTCTAGGGAGCTTCTTATTTCTCTTTGATTTTAAATGATAGCCTTGCTGGGTAAAGTAGCCTTGGATGTAGGTCCTTGGTTTTCATCACCTACACCATTTCACACCACTCCCTTCAGGCTTGTAATGTTTTTCTTGAGAAATCAGGTGACAGTCCAACTGGTGCTCCACTGTAGGTAACTACCTCCTTTTTTCTTGGGGCTTTTGGGATTCTCTCTTATCTTTGAGCCTTGTCATTTCAATTGTGGTATGTCTTGGTGTGGGCCTCTTTGGGTCCAACTTGTTCAGGACTCTGAGTTTCCTGGACTTGTGTGTCTTTTCCTTCACCTGATTAGGGAAGTTTTCAGTCAGTATTTCTTCATATAGGTTCTTGATGCCTTGCTTACTCTCTTCTCCTGCAGGTACTCCCATGATGCAAATGTTGTTACGTTTCATGTTGTCCAAAATATTTCCTAAGCTCTCATTTAAATTTTTTTTTTCTTTTTGTTGCTCTGCCTGCATGTTTTTGCTGCCTTATCTTTCAAAACACTAATTCTATCCTCTGCCTTATCTAACCTACTGTTTATTCCTTCCAGTGTATTATTTATTTCAGTTACTGCATTCTTTATTTCTGACTGGACATTTTTTATGGTTTCTATGTCTTTTTTCAAGCTGTTGAGTATCCTAGCAATCATTACTCTAAACTCTCTGATAATTTGTTTGCTTCCATTTCATCTAGTTCTGGAGAATTCTCTTGTTCTTTCAATTGGGGCCTGTTTCTTTGTCTTCCCATTTTGGCTGCTTTTTCTATTTTTCTCCTTAGATATTAAACTTTTTGCGATATAGCAGTTAGCTGTAATCAGCAGCCCAGCTTAAGCTCCACAGGGTAGGGCAGATTAATTCCTGCAGTCATGGTTGGTTCCCCTCTGGCTAATGATACTTAAGACCAGTGCTCTGCCTGAGAAAGATGGCTTAAGTAGGATGGAACATGACTCAGCACAGGAATCCTAGCAGCTGTTCCTTCAGTTCTCTCCCCAGAGCCACCAGCCCCAAATTCTCCTCAAGCATCTCTAGTCCACTCTACCTACCTTCTCCCTGAGCTCAGGGTGTTTGCAAATGAAATTTTGTGCACTGGCCCTTTAAGAAGCTCTCAGCATTTCCAACCATCTCTTCCTGGCAGACAGAAACTCTGCTGCTTTTCACCATTAGATGTTATCTGGGTTCCTTTCTGGCTCTGGTGCTGTAGGATTGGGAGCCCGCTTAATGTTTAGACCCCACACTTCTCAAGGGAACCCTCCCTGCCACTGAAATATTCCTGAAAAAAATTCCAGAATTTCAGCTGTCACCTTTGGGAACCCAGCCTGCCCTCCACCTCCTCCATACTCCCTACCAGTCTCATTGTGGTGAAGGGGGTCTTCTGTCTGTCCTTGGTTATAAAGCTTCTCTCCAGCTAATGTTCAGTTAGTTATTTAGGATGATTACTCTGCAACTTAGTTGTAATTCCAGATTGGGTCTTGGAGAAGGTTAATGTAGCTTCTACTTTCTTCCGCCTTCTTGGATCTCTTTCCCCTGATTTTTATAAGTCCACTTTATGTCACCCTACTTTTATGAGCAACTTATATTAGTACCTGGTTTTGCTAACCAAAAGAAATCCCAAGATGATTTTCACTTTTATGAAAAAAAAAAAGGTGAAAAAACATTCAGCATTTGTTTGTAGTGAGCCAATACAAAAGCAGTATGCACCCCACTGACTCCATATTGGTGGAGTGGAACCACCTTCCCCAGCAACTACAAGTAGTATCTCAACATCAAGTTGCCATAGATTTGAAGCGTGTATCTGTGCTTTACCTTGGTTTACTTTGTGAATCCATGAGAAAAATGTCTCCTAAGGTAGCTGCTTTTTCAATTTAGACCATTTTGGATTTTGAATGGTTTCAGAGGGATACTGTACTTTTGGGTATCAGGGGATACTTGTATAGCACAATATCAAAACAAGGACTCTAACATTCATTGATACAATATATGTACTTAGTTCTATGTCATTTTATCACATGTAGATTTGTGTAACCATCACTGCAATTAAGATACAGAACTATTTTATCACTACAAAGATCTCCCTAATGCTACCTCTTTATAGTTCCATTCGGTCCATCTTCTTTAACTGCCCCTAAACCCTGACAATCACTAATCTATTTACATCTTTGTAATTTTATCCTTTTGAGAAGGCTACAAAATTGAAATCCTATAGCATGTGACCCTTCAGGACTGGCTTTTTTCACTTGGCATAATGCCCTTGAGATCCATCCAAATTGTGCTGTGTGTTAACGACAGTTCATTCCTTTTTACTGCTAAACAAGTATTCTATGATATAGAAGTATTACAGTTTGTTTCACCATTAACCTACTCAATTACATGTAGGTTTTTACAGTTGGCTATTACAGATAAGCTACTATGAGCAATAATCTACAGGTTACTTCATGGACATAAGTTTTCACTTATATGAGATAAATGCTTAGTAGTGTAGTTGGTAGGTTATATGTTAAGTGCATGTTTAGTTTTTTTAAGAAACAGAAAAACTATTTTCTGGAGTAACCATAACATTTTACTCACATTGTTTACCAGCAATGTACAAGACATTCAGTTTCCCTGAAACCTTGTAAGCATTTTGTGTTTCACTACTTTTTATTTCAGTTGTCTTAATACTTGTTATAGAGTAAATGTTTGTGAACCCCCTCAAAATACATATGCTGAAATCCAATCCCCAGTGTAATGGTATTTAAACGTGGGCCTTTGGGAAGTGATTCAAGTCATGAGGGGGGAGCCCTCAGGAATGGGATTAGTCCCCTTATAAAAAAGCCCAGAGAGCTCCCGTCCCCTTCCGTCATGCAATTAAACAGCCAGAAGATAGCTATCCATGAAACCAGATTGTGGGTTCTCACCAGGCATAGAACCCCACAGAATCTGCCAACACCTTAATCTTGGACTTCCCATGCTCCAGAACCACGAGAAGGAAACATCTGTTGTTTTGAAGCCATTCAGTCTGTAGTTGTTATAGCAGCCCTAGGATACTTATATAATGATCATGGTCTTAATTTGCATTTACATTTCCCTAATGACTAGTGATGTTGAACATCTTTTCGTGTGTTTATTTACCATCCATATATACTCTTTGGTAAAAAGTTTTTTCATGTCTTTGGCACATTTTCAAATTGGACAGTTCATTTTTTCTTAACTATTGAGTTTTGAGAGTTATTTCTATATTCTAGATATAAGTTCTTTGTCACATACGTGGTTTGCAAGTATTTTGTCCCAATCTGTAGTTTATATTTTTATCCACTTACCAGGGTATTATGCAGAGCAAATGTTCTTAATATTGATGAAGTCCCATCTATCAACTTTTATGGATCATGCTTTCAGTATCCTGCTAACAATTCTTCACTAAGCCCTACAGTCCTGAGAATTTTCTCCTATATTATTTTCTAAAAGTTTTATAGCTAAGTTTTTCATTTAAATATATGTTACATTTTGAATTAATTTTGTATAACGTGTGGTTGAGGTAGGAAAAAAACTGAAAAGTCTAAGATAAAAGGAGAGAAAGTCAATTTAATAGGGTAACATTTAATCACTAAAAGTAATTTAAAATATACTAAGTAAATGAAGACACTTTATGGTAACATTAAATAATAAAAATTGAATTGTTAGGATTTCAGCATTATAAAAAATAAATAAGAAAGTACAAAAGTGAAGTCCAAGTAACTAGAGTGCCAAAATAAGATCTCTTACCTACATGCTGACTCAGTGCCTGAACAACATTTGTGGCAGCAGCATAGATGCCTGGATTCTTGGAATTCAGATTGTTATCGACTATTGCTGGAATTAGCATGTTGATTATAGGAGATAAATTGTCTCTAAGTAAAGGAATCATTTTGTGCATTGTTTCCAAAGCAACCAGATTTACTTTGCTATTAGAATCATGAAGTCGAGATTTAAAAGCATCAAAAATCTGAAAATAAAATGGTAAATTATTTAAAGTTAAGTAATACTCTGAACTATTGTATTTAAATTTCTTTTGGTATTTCATGGTTTCTACTTTAGCATACTGTTTAAACACACATACACATACCTTATTTAACCTGAATTTAGAAAACAGAAATTTCATAAAAATGTGAATGATAAATCTTAGTGTTGAATATTCTTATAGCAAAGAGGGAAGAACTCAAAAACCACCACAAAAGACATCCTAATAAATTAAAGTTGAGAAATTTGACTCAGTAAGCTCATGACTGATTTACTATAGATGTGATAAAAATGATGTTTTCTAAACAGTACAGGTTAGCTTAGCTGACCTTAAGGACTTAAGAGATATTTCTATTTTTATCTATTTATAGCAAAAGTAGACATGTAAGTTTTACTGAAGAGATTTCATTTAAGTTTCTTATGAGAACTTTAGGTGAAATTTTAGAGTTAAATTTTATTATTACCTCTTAACCTCATTACTTTAACAATTCTTCCTTGCTCTTCAGAATTCTTAACTTTCATAAATTAAAGATACAATACAGTGAATGCTAGGTAATTCTCAAGTCACATTAGGTGAGTGAAGAGCTACTCTGTGAGTCTGAGACAATAATTCCTGATATATAAATATATATTTTAAAATATGTGAATTTTTTCATGTTAAGAACTGTCTTCCTAAGAGATTTATTTTTACTCAACAAAATCAAAATATGTAAATTTCTGGTTCCCATGATATGGTGTTGTGGTACTTTTCTTCTTAAAATTAATAAGACAACACCTCTAGAATTAAGAGTAGTTAGGTATAGTATATTTGCTGAATTTAATGCACATAATAAAATTAAAAATGGAATTTAACATTTATTACTCTCTCTTGTTGCTTGTTTTCCTAAAAGTAGGTATACAAATTGGTATATTTATGTTTAACCTCCGTATAAAAACTTTAATATCTATATTCTAGAGTAATGTTGTCTCTTAAATATATACATCCTACAGTAATATCAAGTCTCTGGTTTTTAAAATAGTTATTGATTCACTCAATATATACTTACTGAACGTCAGGTTTCAAGAGCTTTCAAGGAGTTAACATCTAATGGGAAGATTCATACAAATAAGCAGCTATCTTATTACTCACTGTTCACTAGTTAGTTACTTTGACTGGTTCTCAAATGCTTTCGAAACAGAAAAATTTAATCTATTCTTTTCACTAAGGTTATTTTAACATTTTAAAATAATATATAAAGTACTGAGATTTAGGGCAACTTTTTATACTAATACACTCTATTAGCCACAGACTGAAAATGAAAATTAATTTTGATGTCCTTACCTTTACAATGTTTCCAACAACAAGCTCTTGATTGTTTTCAGTATCCGATAAAAGTTGCTTAATCCCATTAATACGATCACGAAAGTCTTTTGCATTTAGTAAACCTGTTATGACTTTGATATACTCAGCACTTTCTACGGAATTATGAGGAACTGATTTTCTGGTGGCTTCGCGAATTTCAGTTACCTCTCTAAAGTAAAAGAAAGGTAAATTTAATGTCATTATTAATTTCTTATAAAAATACAGACATAATAAATAATTCTTGTTATATATTTATTTTCTAAGAATTCACAAAATAATCTAACCAAAAGCCCCTGTACCTGTGTTGGGACCTCCAAGATCTCCCCTGAATTTGGCAATTTGCTAGGAAGCATGGGGTTCACCATGCAGTTTTACTCACAGTGAATATTTATTACAGTAGAAGGATAAAAAGCAAAATCAGCAAAGGGAGTAGGCACATGGGTTAAAGTCTAGAGGAAGCCAGATGTAAGCTTGCTAGGGTCCTTTCCCAGTGGAGTCACACAGTACAGACTTAATTTGTCTAGCGACAAATTGACAACCCATGTGAAATGTTGTCTACAAAAGAAGTTTATTAGATGGTTAGTGTCCAGAGTTTTTATTGGACATCAGTCATGGTTTGTTTTCTGCCTAAGACATATTAAAATTCCAGACTCCCAAAAGGAAAAAACTTCAGTAATTCTGATTGCCCAAATAATCTAGGCACCATAAACTATGCTTATTAGTTAGGGAATGGTGAAAATTATCTTGGAATCCTGGTTCATAGGTGTCAGGCATGAGCTAACTATGCAAGTAGGCCTTTTTAAGGACTGCAGTCTCAGGCCTTCTATGTTAACCTTTTCCTATGAAATAGACATGTGACCATGCAAGGGAAAATTAGAAATTTGAGACCAGCAGGATTCCAATGACTTAGTATCCACAGCACAATGTTTTCCATTGCTATAAAAGGGTGACTCAATGTAGTAGGTGATAATACCTTTGAAACCAAAGAGTCCTGCAAATTGATAGGTCCTAAAGAGAATGGTTGGACCTAAAGATAGGTCCTAAAGAGACAATTGCCAGTAACTACCATTTCAATGACTAGCAGTATAAAAATCAATGCTAAAGTTGTCTTAGCTGCAGTGATTTAATGAATGACTCAGAATCATTATAAAACTAGATACAGCAATAAAATACATATAAAAAAGTAGATACAGGATGATGATCTAAAAATACAGAGCTTGAAAATATTTATCCATTATTTATACTTTTTAAAATAAATTAATCTGAAGTTAATTTGTAAAATGATTCATTCTATTCTAATTAATTCTATAATAATAAAAATAAAGGATTACATTTATATTTAAACTGGGGACTATATAATACATAAAAAGTGAATAAATAAAAAGGTAACAGAAGAACACCCCAAGAAGCCATCTAATTACTGAAACATATTTATAAAGATGGCTTTTTTATTGTTCAAAACAGGATGGACTTCATAAAATAACACAATACACTTCAGAGGAAAGATAAAGTAACATGAAAGAAGTCACTACATATACTACATTAATAAATTCATTAAAAAAGAGAAGACATTAAGAATAATAGGATATAGATACAAACATCATCAACAAAATATCAGCAAATCACATTTCATAAATTAAAAGAATCATACACAATAACCAAGTGGGATTTATTCCAGGGATGCAAGGATGGTTCAATGTCCACAAATCAATCAACATGATAAACCACATTAACAAAAATGAGGGATAAAAAGTCATAGCATCATCTTAACAGATGTAGAAAGAGCATTTAATAAAAATCAACATCCACTCATGATAAAAATACTCATATTGGATATAGAGAAAATGTACCTAAACATATTAAAGGCTATATTTGACAAGCTTACAGCTATTACCACAATCATCAACAAAAAGTTGAAAGTTTTTCCTTTAATATTAGGAACAAGACAAGGATGTCAATTCTCGCCACTTTTATTCAACATATTACTGAAAGTCCTAGCTGAAGCAATTAGGCAAGAAAAATAAATAAAAGGTATTTGAATTAAAAATGAAGTAAAACACTCTTTATTTGCAAGTTATATATTATATACAGAAAACTCTAAAGGCTCTACCAAAAACCTTTTAGAACCAATCAGTAAATTCAGTAAAGTTCAGGATTTGAAGTCAATATACAATATTCAGTTGTGTTTGTAAAACACAGAAACACAACAAAAAGTTTATAATAATAAACTATCAGAAAAATTAAGAAAACAACCCCAATTATAATTACACAAGAATAAAATACCTAAGAACTAGGGAAGTGAAAGACTTGTACACTGAAAACTGTAAAATAATGATAAAAAAAACCTAAAGACACAAATAAATGGAAGATATTTGTGCTAATTAATGGAAAGAAATAATATTGTTAAAATGTCCACAGTATCCAAAGCAATCTATAGATTCAGTTCAATTCCTATTAAAATTCCAAAGGTATTTTTCACAGCCCTAATATCTATGGGGAACCACAAAAGATCCAGAAGAACCAAAGCAATGTTGAGAAAGAAAAACGTAGTTGGAGGCATCACATTTTCTGAATTCAAACAATATTACAAAGCTACAGTAATCAAAACAGCACAGTATTTGCATAAAAACAGACATAAATCCATGGAACAGAAAAAAGAGCTCAGAGATAAATCCCCACATATATGTTCAATTAATTTATGACAAAGGAGTCAACAATATATAATAAAGGATAGTTTCTTCAATAAATGGTGTTTAAAAAAGCAAACACCCACATGCAAAAGAGTAAAACGGGACCCCTTTGTTACACTATACACAAAAATCAACTCAAAATTAATTGAGGACTTGAATGTAAAACCTGAAACCATAAAACTGCTAGAATAAAAAAAGGTGGTGAGCTTGCTGATGTTGGTATTGATAATGTTGTTTTTGGATCTGACAACCAAAACAAAGGCAAGAAAAGGAAAAATAAGCAAGTGGGACTATATCAAACTAAAGAGCTTCTGCACAGTAAAGGAAGCCATAGAAAAACTGAAAAGGCAATCTACAAATGAGAGAAAATATTTTCAAATGATATATCTGATAAGAGGTTAATATCCAAAAATATAAAGGACTCATCTAATGGAAAAAAAAAAGCAATCTGATTAAAATATGGGCAGGGGGACTAAATAGACAATTTTCCAAATAAGACATGCAAATGGTCAACAGGTACGTGAAAGGTGCTCATCACTAATCTTCAGGGAAATGCAAATAAAAATCACAATGATATATCACCTCACACCTGTTAGAATGGCTATTATAAAAAAGACCAGAAGCCTTGGTGGGGTAAGTTCAGTTGGTTAGAGCATCATCCCAATATGCCAAGGTTGCAGGTTCAACTCCTGGTCAGGGCACATAAAAAAATCAACCACTAAATGCACAAATAAGTAGAACAAAAAAACCAGTTATTTCTCTCTTCCTCCTCTCCTCTCTAAAATCAATAACTTAAAAAAATTAAATTTAAATAAAATAAAAAGACAAGAAATAAGTGGTGGCAAAAATGTAGTGAATCCTTCCCTGTACACTCTTAGTGAGAATGTAATCTGATACAGTATGGAGATTCCTGAAAAATTAAAAAATAGAACTACCAAATGATCCAGTAATTCCACTTCTGGTTTTATATCCAAAGGAAATAAAATCACCAACTTGAAAAGATATATGTATCACTAGGTTCACTGTAGCATTATGTACAATAGTAAAGGCATAGAAACAACCTAAGTGTCCATTGATGGATGAATGGATAAGGAAAATGTGGCATATATACACACGATGAAATCTTTCTTATTTTAATTGTTGTCCAGGTACAGTTTTCTGCCTTTTACTCCCATCCCAACCCACCCCCGCAGCCCTCGTCATCTCCCTCCTGTTTCCAGCCCCCCTTGCTTTTTTGTCCATGTGTCCTCCATAGTTGTTCCTGTAAACCCTTCCCCTTTTCTCCTGAAATTCCCTCCCCTCTCCCCTCTGGTCACTATCAGCCTGTTATCTATTTCAGTGTCTTTGGTTATATTTTGCTTGTTTGTTTGTTTTGTTGATTAGGTTCCTGTTAAAGGTAAGATTGTATGATATTTGTCTTTCACCACCTGGCTTATTTCGCTTAGCATAATGCTTCCCCAATTCCATCCATGCTGTTGCAAAGGGACAATGAAGTATTATTTATCCACAGAAGGAAGGAAATCCTGCCATTTGGGATGACATGGATAGACTTTGAGGGCATTATGCTAAGTGAAATAAGTCAGAGAGATACAAATATTGTATGACCTCACTTCTTTGTAGAATCTAAAAAAACCCAAACTCATTGATAAAGAAACAGATTGGTAGTTGCCAGAGAGTGAAAATGGGTGAAGGTGGTCAAAAGGCACAAATTTTCAGTTAGAAGTTTGTACTGGTGACTACAGTTAGTAATACTGGGCTGTGTATTTGAAAGTTGCTAACAGAGTAACTCTTACAAGGTCTTATGACATAAAGAAATTATGTAAGGTGATGGATGTTAACTATAACTTATTATGGTAATCATTTCACAATACATACATACATCAAATCATTATGCTGTATACCTTAAACTAATATAGTGTTATATGTCAATTATAGCTAATAAAATTGAGGAGAAAAAGAATGAACATAGTCATGGCACATTTATAAAATATATTAACTATTCAAAGTAAATGTAACATTAATGTATTGTGGAGACTATAACACTGGTAGAAGTAAAATGCATGACAAAAACAGCATAAAAGATGAAAGGGGACATAAAAAGATATTGTTGTATGATTCTTACTTTATACCTAAATTGGTCTAATATTATTTGAAAGTAGACTTTATACCTAAATTTGTCTAATATTATTTGAAAGTAGACTATTAGAAAAGGAAGATGTAGACTATTAGAAGAGGAAGTATGTAATATACATACATAAAGTATGTATATTACAAAGTCTAGATCAACCACTTAAAAAATGATGAGGCGATAAATGGAATACAAAAATAAACACACATTCACACATTAATCAAATCAAAAGAAGGCATGAAAAGAGAAAAAAAAGAAACAAAGACTATAGGACTAACTGAATAATACTATCAAGATGATAGGCTTTCACCCAACTATATGAGTAATTAACATCAAATATAAATGGTCAAATACCCCAAATAAAAGGCAGAGATTGTTAGACTGATTAAAAAAGCAAGACAATTACACACTGTCTACAAATAAAACCACTTTAAAAATACATACTAGGATATGGAAGTCAAAACCACAATGTATTAAAGAAAAACTATTCTGACACTTGCAAAATGATACAGAAAACTTTATTCAAGACTACTGCAATAGGGATCACGGCTATTGCAACAGGAGAGAAAAGTGTGTTCAACTCTGAATGCAGAGACGAATGGGGATTTACAGCCAACATAGTGAGGGGATCACTGGACGATACTAAGAGGAGACATCAAGTAGGCTACGTATGTATACATCAAAGGTGGAAGATGAAGAACCTAGTCAGATAACAAGGATAAGGTAGGGAATGACTTAGCAGGACTCTTTGCTAAAACTGACTTAGGTAGGCCAAGAAAGGTGCCCAAGCAGGAAACCCAGTGCAAAAGAGGGCTCAGAGAAGCAGATCTAAAATGTGGTCAGAGACAGACAGTCTGTCGAATAAGATACCAGTTTATATCTACTTGGATAATAAGTGTTGATGAAGATGTGGAGAAATTGGAACCCTCTTTATTGCTGGTGGGATTGATTGTAAAATGGTGCCACTTAGAAAACAGTCTGGCAGTTAGTCAAAAGGTTAAACATAGGGTTATCCTGTGACCCAGTAATTCTACTCCTGCATACCCAAGAGATGGAAATATATACACAACAAAATCCAAAGATCCATCAACAAAGGAATAAACAAATATCCATACAATGAAATGTTATTTAGTTCTAAAAAGGAATGGGCTATTGATATATGCTACAAACTTGGATAAACTTTGAAAACATAATAAGTCTAAGAAGTCAGTTACAAAAAACCTCATATCATTTGATTCCATTTATATGAAATACCTACAACTTTAAAATCCACAGAAACCAGACCGCCTATAGTTGGAAATGAGAGGATTGTGGAGAAATGAGTATGGACTGATAATGAGTATGGGATATTTTTTGAGGTGATGATAATGTTCTAAAGTTGATTGTGATGATGGTCCCACAACTTAGTGAATATACTAAAAAACCACTGAACTGTATGCCTTAAATGGCTCAATTATACAATATAAGAATTAGATCTAGTTATTTAAAAAAATGACATACCAAAAGAAAAAATATATATCATACAAACACTACTGAACTATTTGTCAAAAAGTCATAATATATCTGAACTTAATTAAATTGCACCAAAATACACAAAGCAAATAGAGACAGAACTGAAAGTGTAAGTAAACAATTTTACAAATATGGTTGGAGATATCAATACTCCTATCTCAGAAACTGATAGAGAAGAGACAGCAAATCAGTTAGGATATAAAAGACTTTACTAACACAATCAATCAATTTAACCTGAAATTTTAAAAAACATTACATCCAACCAGAGTATAAATACACCTATTCAAGTAAATATAAAAATATTATCTAACAAACTACACATTGGGCCATAAAAGAGTAATTTTAAAAGAACTGAAATCATATGGGCATAATTAATGACACAACAGAACTATTCAAAATTATGAATAAAAAGTTATTTGGAAAATCTCCAAATATTTGGAAATTAAACATACTTCCAAAGAGCTCCTGTATTAAAGAACATATTCCTGTATTAAGGAAAAAACCACAAGGGTATTTATTACCTAGCATTATTCAATACCAGGAGAAACCATCATAACATTATCAGGAATAAAACAGAATAACAACATCCACCTCCTGAACTGATGCACTGAGACGGGCATAACAATTTTTGTGGTGTTCTTGTCAAAACTGCATAACATCAGCTGTTACAAAACATCAAATAAATCCACAGCATTTTGGTGAGAGAAGATTCTTGATATGATTTCAATGTTCTTAAATGTATTGAGGCTTGTTTTGTGTCCTAACATGGTCTATCCTAGAAAACGTTCCATGTGCACTTGAAAAGTATGTATATTTTGCTGCTTTGGGTGAAATGCTTTTAAGATATCATCAATTGAATCCACTTGATCTAGTGTGTCATCTAAGGCCTGTCTCCTCTTTGATTTTCCGCCTGCAAGATCTACCCATTGAAGTCAAGGGGGTGTTAAAATCCCCAACTATGACTGTATTTCTATTGCTATCTCCCTTTATGTCCATTAGACTTGCTTTACACACTTAGGTGCTGCTGTGTTGGGTGAGTAAATGTTTACTACAGTTGGGTTATAGCTCCTTGTTTGATTGTTCCCTTTATCATTATGCAGTGAACTTCTTTCTCTCTTATTATTGCTTTGGTTTTAAAAGTCTGTTTTGTGTGATATAAGCATTGCTACCCCAGCTTTTTCCCCCCCTTTCCATTTGCATGAAATAGTGTTTTCAAGTTCCTTTACTTCTGGTTTGGTTTGTGTGCATCTTTCAATCTGAGATGAGTCTCTTGGAAGCAGCAATATATGGGTCTTATTTTCTTATCCATTCAGCTACCCTAGGTCTTTTGGTTGGCCCACTTAAGCCATTTGCATCTAAGATAATTACTAATAGATACCTATTTAGTGCTATTTTGTTATTACACTGTTTTCCTGTTTTGTTTTGTTTTTCCTTTTTCCTCCTTTTTTTGTTGTTCTTTTTCTTAAAGCAAGTCCTTTAACATTTGTTGCAGTACTAGTTTGATGTTAGTAAACTCCTTTAGCTTTTTCTTGTCTAGGGAGCTTCTTATTTCTCTTTGATTTTAAATGATAGCCTTGCTGGGTAAAGTAGCCTTGGATGTAGGTCCTTGGTTTTCATCACCTAGACCATTTCACACCACTCCCTTCAGGCTTGTAATGTTTCTCTTGAGAAATCAGGTGACAGTCTGACTGGTGCTCCACTGTAGGTAACTACCTCCTTTTTTCTTGGGGCTTTTGGGATTCTCTCTCATCTTTGAGCCTTGTCATTTCAATTGTGGTATGTCTTGGTGTGGGCCTCTTTACTTGTTCAGGACTCTGAGTTTCCTGGACTTGTGTGTCTTTTTCCTTCACCCGATTAGGGAAGTTTTCCATCAATATTTCTTCATATAGGTTCTTGATGCCTTGCTTACTCTCTTCTCCTGCAGGTACTCCCATGATGCAGATGTTACGTTTCATGTTGTCCAAAATATTTCTTAGGCTCTCATTAAAAAATTTTTTTTTCTTTTTGTTGCTCTGCCTGCATGTTTTTGCTGCTTTATCTTTCAAAACACTAATTCTATCCTCTGACTTATCTAACCTACTGTTTATTCCTTCCAGTGTATTATTTATTCCAGTTACTGCATTCTTTATTTCTGACTGGACGTTTTTTATGGTTTCTGTGTCTTCATTCATGTTGTTGAGTATCCTCATAATCATTACTCTTAACTCTCAATCTGATAAATTGTTTGCCTCTATTTCATCTAGTTCTTTTGGAGAATTTTCTCTTTTCATTTGAGATCTGTTTCTTTGTCTTCCCATTTTGGCTGGCTCTGTTTTCCACCTTAGATGTAAACTAATTAGCCACTAAACCCATCTGTTGTTAATCTAAGCCAGCTGTAATCAGCAGTCTGGTTTAAGCACCACAGGGCAGGGCAGAGTAATTTCTGTAGTAGGGACCATTACTTCCCCCCACAAGCTGATGCCACTTGAAGAGGAGTGTTTTTCCTGAGAAAGATGACTTCTGCAGTATTGGGAAAACTCAACATAGGGATCCTCGAAGGGACTCTTGCAGTTCTCTCCCCAGACCACCAGCCCCAGACTCTCAAGTGTCTATAGTCCACTCTGATCTCCCTCTTCTGGAGCCCAGGGTAAGTGACTGCATATGAAATTTTGTGCATTGGTTCTTTTAGAGTCTCTCTGCATCTCCAGTCATCTCTCCTTGGAACACCAAAACCTCTCTGCTTTTCACAACTGGACATTATCTGGGTTCCTTTGTGGCTCTGGCGCTGTAGGCTGGGGAGTCCAGGTTGGGGTTTAGACCCACACTTCTCCGGGAGAATCCCCCAGCTGCTGAAATATGCCTCTGCAATTTCGGCAGCCCCCTGTGGGTGCCCTACCTGCCTCTCACACCTCTTCTGCACTGCCTACCAGTCTTGTTGTGGTGAAGTGGTTTCTTCTGAAGCCTTGGTTATAAGGTTCTCTCCAGCTAGTGTGCAGCTGGTTATTCTGGATGATTTCTCTACAATTTATTTATTATTCCAGACTGGTCCTGGCAGGTTAGTGTAGCTTCCTCTTAGTCCTCCACTAGTTTGGATCTCCCACTTTACTAATGTTTCATACATGTAAAAGCAAGAAGGTGTAAGTATATTTATACTTGCCTTTTAAATCTAATTACCTCACACTTCCTAAGTCCTTAACAACTTTTAAAACTCCATTAAAATTTGGTAAATACCTCTGGGACAGCTCATGGAAACATCCAAATGAGACTATTACCACCAGGGAGTAATTTCTCTAATGATGTGCACTATAAATGATCCTACCTTTCGGCTGAATTGAAAACATCTCTAGAAACAGATGATGACCTTGTATTTCCAACACCACCAGTATGAGATCGTCTTCCTTTTGCTGAAGGAGTATCTAGTGGTAAATCACCCAAACCCTGTAAGTAAATATAAGGAAAGGCAGTGTAATGAAAGCTTTATAACTAGTATATTGAACTAACTCTCAAAATGTAATTTTCATAAACACCATTACTGATCTTTTTTTAATGATTGATACATTCTCCTCCCATGATACTTGAAATGATTCACAAATACAATACGCTTCATTTGAGTAAGATTATTTTTTTCATGGTTATTTTAGTAAGTTCTGTATTGATGAAGTTGAAGTCTTTAACACCAATAGGCAGAAAATATATTTTAAAATGTGTATTAACATACATCTCTGAAATATCCTTTCATAAATTAATGCTTTGCCCAGGGTTATCAGAGAGAAATAACATAAATTACCACAAAAAATTTTACATTAAACATATTTTTACAAAAAATTATTTCTAAAGGGAATACTTTTTTACAAGATAATTCCACATTTTCTTTTACTCGATAGTCCCTAAGCCAATCATTTCACAGACATTTCTTTTTTTTAATTCTCTTTTTAAAAAGATTTTATTTATTTATCTTTAGAGGGGAAGGAAAGGAGGGAGAGAAATATCAATGTATGGTTGCCTCTCATGCACCCCCTGTTGGGAACTGGCCTGCAACCCAGGCATGTGCCCTTACTGGGAATCGAACTGTGCTCAATCCACTGAACTACACCAGACAGGGCTCACAAACATTTCTGAATTCCATTTTCACCAAGATAAATGGGGCTTCGCCCCAAGGAACTCTCTATCAGTGTTCTGCAGTGTGGTAGAAGCTCTAATAGTGAAACATACAAGCTAAATAAAACAGGCACCCAGTATGATAAGCATCACTATCTTCATTTTATACAAATAAAAATTCTGGTTAAAGAATGATGTGCCTAAAATTATATATAGTTGCTAATTCTCAGAGCTGATTCAAACCCAAATCTTACAACTCCAATAATCCACAGTACATTCTACCTAACATCAAGCTTCTGTGCAATAAACATTTAGTAATACCATGAATGTCCACTTAGCACTGCCACTGCTGAAATGCTACTGTAGATATATTCTAAATATAAATGAAAAAGTAATTATTTCTTTTACCTTCCTGGGCAAATGAACTCTGCTTTGAAAACTGTTTACATAATAAACTCTTCCCACATACCTTGTGTCGTAAGCTCTTAACAGATTCCTTAATATATGGCAAATCTTTAGATGGGACATACTTTTCCAGCATTTTATCAAAATTAGGATGATACATCATGAGGAAAAGCATCTTTCGACCATAATACCTATAAATATTTGAGAAATACGTAAATAATTTCACATCTTAACAAGCTCAATTTCTGTGCTTAGATATGAAGGGCCAAAAGCGTTGATTCTGTATTTCAGGCACCTAGGGTCCATATCAAGGCTGGCCTTTGGCAGAGCTGTGAGTTAGGAGAAGTCCTGGGCTTCTTGCCCAGTGACCTTTTGCTGCTCATCTGCTTGCCAGATGTTTTGGCCTGAGTCAACCTTTCCTTGGTTCTGTATTTCTGACCCTCTGTCTTTTTTCCTAGTCACAACTTACCTAGGTTTCAACTTGTCAGAAACCTATTCTCTGCTACCTAAAACACACCCAGGGTTAGTTGATAAATCGTGGTTGGTATATTAATGAATGTGTGATGCTCTCTGAACTAGGTTTTTTACATTATATGACTTTTAAAATAATTCTCTTAGGACAATACTTTAAGTGAAGATGGCATTCTAATGGCAGAAAATGAAATATCATGGAAGTGCATGCTAAAAATATCTTTGGATACAGAGATTTTACAGTATCTTATAATACCATATTACTATTTTTCAAGGAAGGGTGGCCCCAAAATAAATTCGTTATACTTTTGCCTATAACTTAGGATATGTATATGGGACTAGAAGAACCAGAGAAGGCAATGCTTTTGAGGGGAGATGGGTATAGGCTGATCTCAGTATCATATATATCAATAGGTTCTCAAATATAATGAAATTATAACAAGTGTATAACAGAATAAAAATTACCTTTTCTCTCCCCAGAACCAGAATAAAGTCTACACCCGGAGAACAGCTCCTATTCAGTTATAGTTTCAAAGACAATTCTAACTTTTAGCCCTTATAGTCTTTAGAATTTAAAGACTACAGGTTTACCAGAGACCCTAACTTGGGAATGGCTAAAACAAACAAGCAATCAACGGGAACACAAAATGTGAGAAATATTAAAACTGGAAATTTGTAGCCATTTTATAATTTTAATTTTCCAATAAGAATCTAGTAAGTGACAAAGGGATAATAAGAATTACTATGCCATTAAGGAAAAGTGACGACACAAAACCACTATTACCTTTTATTGCTCCAAACAGTCTATTATGATCCAACCCTCCTAATTTGTTTTGAACATGACCGTGGCATGAAGAACTTCTAAAAGGTGCCCTAAAGATGTCCTGCTCTTTCAGAATTATTTTATGTTATCTGGTACAGCTGATCTGAAGGTAGGGAGGTCATTAAGAAACACGTATAAAGGACCCATGGACAAAGCCAAAGAAGGGTAGGGATGAGGGTTGGAGTTGGGGATGGGTGGGGGAGGAGAAAGTGATGGGTGGAAAATGGAGACAACTGTACTTGAACATCAATAAAAAAATAATAAACCATAATTTGCTGAAAAAAGAGATAGGGAGATTATCTAAATCAAATCTATTCACATGAGCCTTAAAAGCAGAGCACTTTCTGTGGCTCACAGCAGAAATAAGAGATGCTAAGCATGAGGAGGATTCAGCTTACTGTTGGCTGGCCACAGATGGAGGGGGCTGCATGGATGCATGAGAAGGAATTCTGGTAGCTTTAAGGAGCTTAGACAGAACCCTGACAGTCAGCAAGGAAATGGATTAACTCAGTACTACAACCACAAGGAACTAAATCTGGTGAAAAACCTAGAAGCAGATTCTTCTATAGATCCTCTCGGTAAGGGTCTAGCACTGTGATCACCTTGATTTCCACCCTGTGAGATCCTAAATCAAAGCCAGTTGAACCATGCCAGACTGCTTACTTAAAGAACGGTAACCTAAAAAAAATCTGTGGGGTCTTACACCACTATATTTGTGGTAATTTGTCATGCATCAATAAAAAATTAATATATTTACCCTCTATATTAGCTTTTGGTATAATGACTTCCATGGGATTAACTCTAGCTACCTAAAGTAATGGGCATCTTTGCCTTAAAATGTTAAAAATTTGATATCCTTTTTCACTTTAGTCTCCATGAACTCAGGAGTCATTCTCTTCCCATCTACTCTAATTTCATATGTAACTGCCATTAATTTTTAGACTTTATGTGGGGAATTATCAATCACCCACTCCAACCTTCCTAATTTTATAGATGAGAAACAAAAGCTAACAAAAGATGAATAACTTGCTTAAGGGAAAACTGTGATCGAGGCTAAGAATTGAACCTAGGCTTCTGACAAAGTCCAAAATTTCTGTCACCATTACACCTATTGTACCATCTATCTGTTAATTATTTTGTCATCTTTCTGTGACTGTTCTTAACCTTCATAAAATTCTTCTTTCAGTACAGACAGAAATCAGAAATTCATGGAATTTTCCTGAGTACAGATATCTCATGTTGCAGGAGATGGTATGCAATTTATTTTCTCATGTGCACTTAATTTCCTTGATTTTACCTGACTGCTTGGAAAATATATCACTTCCCCCTAAATGCATTACCTTACATTTACCCACAGTGAAATTCTTCTGCCACTACTCTGCCCATAAAGAATAGTGCTGTTTTTGTGCAATTCATCCCTGTGACATGGCATCTTACTACACAGAACTAAGTAGTGTCACGTATAAATTTGGAGAATTCACTATATGCTCCCCCAAAATCATTTACAGATTGGTTAAATAAAACCATTCCCCTAGCACCATTCCTTGGAGACACCACTTGTCCATTTAGAAAAATGTTCATGCTTTTTAAACCTTGGCTTTTTTTTTAAGACCTTCTACTAAGAGATTCAGCAAATATTATTAGCAGCTATTCACCTGGTTTCTTGTGAGCTGTCCTGAGCAAACTTAGCAGCGGCTGGTAATATACGATCAGCCATATCTTTTGTTCCAGATAAAATATGATCCAGCTCCATAAATCCCAACACATCTGATAGGTGCTGTGCTGTACATTTTCTTACTGCAGTGTGTAAATGGCTACAAGGAAACATGATGAATTAGAACAAAGTTCATATATGAATAATTTTCCTAAAATACACCTTTAAAGTTACATGATTAAACTACTATTAACCTTCATAGACCATGAAAGCAAAAATGACAAATTACTTGCATTAGCTATTCCTCCCTAGTAAGTTAAAAAAAAAACCACCAAAATTAGGTCATTAATGTTTAGTTTTAGACCTACAAAAGTATGTCTAAACACTGTTAGAATGGTGGTAATATTATTCTTTGTAAGGTCAGTACCTAATATGTTTATCACACCCAAATTATTACTGTTTTTTACATTTAACAGTTTATTTTTTAAAAGATTTTATTTGTTTATTTTTAAAGAGAGGGGAAGTGAGGGAGAAAGAGAGGCAGAGAAGTATCAAAGTGTGGTTGCCTCTCAAATGCCCCCCCACTGGGCCCTGGCCCACAACCCAGGCATGTGCCCTGATTAGGAATCGAAATGGTGACTCTTTGGTTCACAGGCTAGGGCCACATACAAATTATTTAATAAATGGTTTTCAACTGAAATAATACTGAAATCTGCTTGTTTTTCTTTTTATGTCAGATTACAAACAATTGCTTTTTTAGTTTAAGGGCATATTAGGATTATTTTGAACGTTACCTTTGTCCTCCATTGATAAGAGAAACAACTGCACGTGCCGGAGTCACACTACTGACCATAGCTTTCAAGGCTTTGTCAACATCTTCCCTTATAAATGTGTTTGATTCTCCTGCCTTATGCAACAAAACTTTCACTGTAGTATCTAGTTCTTGATCCATGCTCTTTTTCAGATAAGTGAAAAGATCACTTAAACACACCACAGCAGCTCGAGAAACGCCAGAGCGTAAATTTTTCACCTAAAAAAAATTTCCAAAATGTACATTTTGCTGATATTCTGAAAGAAAATCAGTAATAATGCCTTTGCAACCAAATTTACTGTTAAAGTAAGACGTTTTAATATATATTATCTTATGTCCTAAAAGTTAACATTTAATACATTTTTTAAAATGTTGACAAGACATGAGTTACTTAAACTATAGCTTGCATACTCACATCATCTAGTACAGTTTTTTAAAAGATAAATGTGGCTTATTCATTCTTCGCTATTCAAACAATCTTTAACTCAGCTAAAGATAAGGTTACCTCTTGAACTACTGCAAAATTTGTTTCATGCAACTTTGTGTTCAATATTTCAGAATGGAAAGCAGCTAAGCATCTAATAAAATTCAGTCCCTCAATTTTCTTCTCCCTACGGGAAAAAGAAAAAAATAACAAAATCATTTATTAAAATGAGGCAGAATGGCTTCTTTTGTGTTTATGAAATACTGCCAATAAGGATATTTTGTCTATTTTCCCTTGTCACGTAGCAATGTCAAATAAAATATGTGAAGTTGTGTTGCACCAATAGTTCTCTTTTATGATTCAAAAAATCTAAGAGCCAAAACCACTACTGACAAACTTAAGTTCATGTTCTATAAATAAAAGGAACATTTTTTCCCCTAGTGAGAGTGCCATATTATTTCTAGAGAACAGAGGGAAAGGAATGGCAAACAAAAGGTGAGGAGGGAAGCAGTAAAACAAAAATGGAAAAAGGAAAGTAACTACCTGTTACCTTGTTGGTGAATACATAATTCTAGAACAGAAAACCACCAATAGGTGGTTCTGTAATTTGTATTTCTTTTATATTATCTATTGCAATGATTTTCACCCTTTTTATCTCACGACACATATAAGCTACTACAATTCTGCAATACACCAAAAAATATTTTTTGCTGGTCTGACAAAAATAGGTATAGTTTTGATTCATGTACACCAATGACTATTGTTGTGTTGGCTATTGTCATTTTTTTATTTGACAATCACAGGAAAAAGAGGTCAGTGCCCTGAATAAACAATCAGGTATTACAAATCCTTGTAGTACATCTGTTGAAAATCTTTGACCTAAGATAATGAGCCAAATGAAGGGTAGGTGGATGCTAACAACAACAGGGTGGACTCAACTGGAACTTACACACATTTCAAATTTGATGGTTTTCATCTTGTGGGTTTGACAATGTGAGCTAAGAGGAGATTCCTTAATTGGTAATATTAATGGCGATTATATTTTAAAGCACTTAAATTCTCTGAGAAGTTATGGAAACAGAGAAAAGACCTAAAAATCTAAGAGTAAACCTACTTAGTAACTGTGTGGTATACCCTGGCCAGGTGGCTCAGTTGGTTGGAGCATCGTCCAATGCACCAAAAGGTTGTGGGTTCAATCCCTGGTCAGGGCACATACCGAGACTGTGCGTTCAATGCAGGGTCAGGGCACATATGGGAGGCAACTGATCAAGGGCTTGGTGATGATGAACTCCTTGAACTTGACCTTATCTGGGAAGCACTTTATCTGCCCTTCCATTCTAAATGATAGCTTTGCTGGATAGAGAAATCTTTGACGTAGTTCCTTTTCTTTTCATGACTTCTAATAGTTCTTTCCAGACCCTTCTTGCCTGTAAGGTCTCTTTTGAGAAATCAGCTGATGGTCTTATGAGAATTCCTTTGTAGGTAACTATCTCCTGTTCTCTTGCTGCTTTTAAGATTCTCTCCTTATCTTTAATTTGGGGTAATTTAATTATGTGTGTTTTGGTGTGTTTCTCCTTGGACCCAACTTTTTGGGGACTCTCTCAGCTTCTTGAATTTGTATGTCTAATTCCTTCTCCAGACTGGGGAAATTTTCCTTCATTTTTTTTCCGAATAAATTTTCAATTTCTTGCTCATCCTCCTCTTCTCTTTTTGGCACCCCTATGATTCAGATGTTGGAACACTTATAAAGTTGTCCCGGAGATTCCTAAACCTCTCCTCATTCTTTTTGAATTCGTGTTTATTCATGGTGTTCTGGTTTAGTGTTAATTTCTTCCTTCTGTTCCAAATCGTTGATTTGAGTCCCAGTTTCCTTCCCTTCACTGTTGGTTCCCTATATTATTTTGCTTTATTTCACTCTGTATAGCCTTTGCTTCTTTTATTTCATGGCCATACTCAAATCATTTCTGCGAGCATCTTGATTACCAGTGTTTTGAACTCTGCATCTGATAGGTTGACTATCTCATCATCACTTAGTTCTTTTTCTGCAGTTGTTATCTGTTCTTTCATTTGGACCACATTTCTCTGTCTGGGCATGCCAGTCTGGGTTAATGTTTCTTCTTCAACTCCTTGTTTGTCAGACTTCCATACCGTTAGACTTTGTGGTAGTTGTGGTTGTTGTTGTTTTTTAAAACGTATTTATTTATTTTTAGACAGTGGGGAAGGGAGAAAGAGAGGGAGAGAAACCTCAGTGTATGGTTACCTCTCACATACCCTGCCCTGGGGACCTGGCCTGCAACCCAGGCATGTGCCATAACTGGGAATTGAACCAGTGACCCTTTGCTTTGCAGGCAGGTGCTCAACCTACTGAGCCACACCAGCCAGGGCTGTTTTTTGTTTTTAAATTGGTTGTTTCCTTGTTTTCATTGTGTGAGCAGATGAAGCGTATCTAGCTCTACCTCCATCTGGGCCAGAACTCACAGCCCTTCTTGTGTATTTTTTGTAATATGTATCTTTTTTCATAAATGTTCCTTGTGGACCTGAAACAATGTGAATCCTATTATTTTAGATGGAATATTTAAACATGTCAATTAGTTCAACAGTGTTCAAATCTTGTATATTCTTAGTGATTTTCTTTCTACTAGGTTCAATCAATTAATGGGAGAGGGTAACTGAAGTTCCAAGTGTGTTATTTGTTTATTTTTCCTTGCTGGTCTACCAGTGTTTGCTTACTGTATTTTGAAGCTCTGTTATATGGTACACAAATGTTCAGGATTGCTATGTACACTTGATGAATTACCCCTTTTCATTATAAAGTGACCCTCTTTATACCTGATGCAATAAGACAAAATTTTAACATGGCACAATTCCTGTCTCCCAATGTAGACATAATACCTGTATAATACCTTTCCCTTGAGGGTGCATAGATGGGATATCACTTCCCTCAATCACGCTACATTATAAGGCAAAAGGAAATTTACAAGTTGTCCTATGGCTCACTGATTCTCTTTTTATGTATTTCTTCTAGCTTTCTTAACACATGGATTAGAATTGTAACTATAGTAACAATGTCCTTTTTATAAGTTTTTTCTGTATTATTTTTGGATTACTTTCAATTGTTTAACTTTTCCCTCCTCATTACGGGTTGTATTTCCTTATTTCTGTGCATGCCTGGCAATTTTTTACCTTGGATACTGGTAAATATCCAAGCATAGTGACTTTTACCTTGGATATTGTTGTATTCCTATAAGTATTAAATTTTTTTCTTCTTTTTTTGATTCCAGAGAGGGGGAAGGGAGGGAAAAGGAGAGGGAGAAAAAGTGGAGAATTCCGCACGCCACCACAAGAGCCACAACAGCGAGCAGTCAAAAAAAACCTGACTCCGCCTTAGGTAGAAAGGACATATTCTTGGCCTGGTATATACTCTAGGGATTGTTCCCTATAACTTCTTCAAGTGACTCTTGATCTGGTTTCCAGTAATTTACTCACATGCATGCCCTGACCAGTACTCAGCTAAACATTTGAGAAGAATCCTCTGATGGTCTCTGGGTTTCCTTGTGGAGCTCTATCCTCTCTGGCATAGTGCCCTGCAAACTGTAGCTACCATGGCCTCCCTATACTCCCAAGCTCCATCTCCATGTCTGTTGATACTAGATGGTTTCTTCCTCCTTGAGCTGTGACCTGGACACTCTGTAGGAAGTAAAGCCAGGACAACTATAGGGCTCACCTTCCTTATGTCCCATCTCTCAGGGATCACTATATTTCACTGCCCAATGAACAATATTTTAAAAACAATTGTTTCATATATTTTGAAACAATTTCTTTAGTGCTTTCAGATGGGAAGGCAAATCTTGTATCTGTTAATCCACTGTGGCAGGAAGTCAAAGTCCAAGAGTTCTATTTTGGACATGTTAAATATCCAAGTAGGCATCCAAGTAAAAGTATCAAGGAGGCAGTTGAACTACAGGTTTAAAACTCAAGAAAATACCAGGGACCCAGATACACATTTATGAGAAATCAAGAGTACAGATGAATTTTAAAGCTATGAACCTTAGTGAAAACATTTAAGAAAGGTGTTGGTAAAACATGGTTCACAGACCAAATTTGGCTCCACCAGATTTTTTTAAGTGAAGGTTTTATAAGTACAGTTTATGGGAGCTCAGCTGTGCCCACTTATTTTTATAGTCTATTAGGCTGCTTTTGTACTACAACAGCAAAGTTGAGTAGCTGTGACAGAGTCAATCTGACTTGCAGAGCTTAAAAATACTTACCAGCTGGATCTTTACAGAAAGATCACCAGCCCTGATCTATGGAATGAATGTAGACAGAGAATAGCAATGGACTGAATTCTGGAGCACTCCTCACTTTTGAAGTAAACAAGAGAGAAAGCATCAGAAAGTACTAAAGTAGGAAAAGAATCATGACCCTGATTTTCCAAGGTGAAATGAAAAAAAAAGTATATTAAGAAGAAGGGCATGTTGACCATGTCAAATGTTGCTGAAGGCTAAGTAAGATGAGGACAAATCAATGATGAGTGTAGATTTAGCAAAATGGTCACTTATATAGTGTTAGTGAATTGTTGGTCATTGTGGGAAGGGCTGAAAGCCGATTAAAGAAGATGAGAAGAGAACATGAGGTAAAAACTAAAGACAACAAATTAGCCTTTTAAAAGACTTTAGCTAAAAAAAGGGCAGGAAAGAAATGTGAAGATGTGCAATTTAGGCAGGTTTTTAAAAAAGAAAAGCTATGATAACACATTCTATGTTGAGGAATATAATCTAGTAAAGAGAAACTGATGAAACCTGTGTAGGATGAGGGTGGAAACAGATAATGAAGGACAGAGGAGTAAATGGGACAAGGGCAACCAGTGGATGCTCCAACAGAAGCAAGGGGGGCCAGGCGCCACTGTCTTTATTTCCCTGAGTTGGGCTGGGCTGGCTGGGTGGCTGCTGCAGCTGTATTAGTAACAGATAAATATTTCCAGGATTGCTGGAGGGTGTATTTCAGAGAAACACTTGGAGAAATGGTGATATTTATATTCTAATGCCAAAATGTTTTTATAATCTATAATAAACCTAAACTATGCCCTTATAGTATATAACTTATAACTGGTAAATATAGTAATAATAGAACCAAACTTCAGCTACATTAATGAGTTAAAAAAATTCAAACTACCTAAGAAGTAAAATAATTATTTCTAAGACTATTTTAATAGGAAATGTTTCAAGGTTTTTAATTAAAAATTTATAGAAAAGTTTTGGAACTCAGCTTAGTTTTAAGTTAAGAATGGTGAACTTACCAATCCTCATCAGCTAAAAGCTTCAGGGCTTCTATCAGTGCTGTTTCTGGTTTAGAAAATGGTCGTAGTTCTGATGAATCCATTATTTCTGGACTATGAGTGACAGAAGGCATCCTTTCTTTATACTGTGGAATGGCTGCAGCAGATGATTCGCCTAAAATTAAAAAAAAAATTTAAATAAAGCACCAGGGAACTCTGATACAAAGAGATACGAATGGTATTCTGATTATAGATTCTATAAATGTATCTTATAAGGACTAGTACTATTAATTTAGTGTCCAACAAAAATGTAGTATCCAAATGCCAAAGCTATTTCAAACTTTACTTTTTATACACAAAATTATTAAGTTACATATAATGTAAATATAGATGGGTTTTTCAGTTATGAGTCATATAACAAAGACTAGCTTCAAGGACTAAGAAGCATATGATCCCACTTTGTTAAATCGTGAATACATACCTGTTTTACTATACAATGGATGACTAAAAATGAAGCTTCAGGGTATCTGCATATAAAATTCTAGTTGGACTCTAAAAATATCAATTTTTGCTACGGGTACAGAATAATAATATATCACAAATTCTAAGCCTATTATGTGTAGTAATAAGAACAATGTTTTTTCCATAATCAACTACTTTCCAGATGCAAGACGCTGCCTTCGACCGATGTTGGGGAAACAGATCACCATCCCTAAGTGCTCGTGATACTAACTGCCCTGAGGGTGCTGCACAATGTAAGACATGGAGGTGTTGAAAAGAAAATGATCAGAAAGATCAAATAGAATGCGTGATGGCCTTTATAAAGGGTTAAGATTTATTAGCTATTTTTCATGTTTATATTACCCTTAAAAAGGTAGTGTTAGGCAGTAGGAAATCATTACCATAAAAGTATTATCAATCATGCTATTCGTAACAAGATGTTATGTAAAGTACATGAGATACACAAATATTTCACTTGATGTTGTATGCTAATTATGGGTTCAAATATATTTAAAATTCAAAGACAACGAGGTCTTCCCAATGTTAGTTTACTTTTACTAAATACTCTGTGCCAAATCTTGTAACTGCTTTTAAAAGCTTTACTACATTTAATTTTCTCATAAAAGCTGAGTTAGATACTCTCATTATCTCTATTTTGCTGCTGTAAAAATAACTGAGTTTAATAGAAGATTAAATATTTATTCAAAGTCTCAGCGATAATGAGTGGCAAAGGCAGGATTTAGATCCAGGTCCACTATCACCTTTGACTTTGTATAAAGAGTCTAGGAAAAACTCCTGCTTTCAAGAAATTTATCGCATACCTGACAAGAGATGTTCAAATAGATAAATATGGCATGTTGGGTTACTATAGTGATAAATTAGTAACAGTTTTTGTTAAAATAAATCATACATGATAAAAATGATTTGACAACAGATATAATAGACCTAATTTTATTTTTCTTTAACATTTATTTATTTATTTTAAAATATTTTATTTTTATTTATATTTAGAGAGAGAGGAAGGGAAGGAGAGAAACATCAATGTGTGGGTTGCCTCTTGTTTGCCCCCAGTGGGGACTTTGCCTGCAACCCAAGCATGTGCTCTGACTGGGAATCAAACCAGCAACACTTTGGTTCGCAGCCATGCTCAATCCACTGAGCTATGCCAGCCACGGCTTTAAGTTCTTTAAAAAAAATTTTATTGATTGATTTTAGAGAGGGAGAGGAAGGGAGAGAAACATCGATTTTTGTTATTCATTATTTATTCCTTCATTGGCTGATTCTTGTATGTCCCTTGACCAGGAACCAAACCTGCAACCTTGGTATATCAGGAAGATGTTTAACCAACTGAGTAACTGAGTTAGGCAAAAATAAAAAAATTCAATTACACTTCACATTCAATATTTTTTTGTATAAAAATATGGAATGCTTCACAAATTTGTGTGTCATCTTTGCACAGGGGCCATGCTAATCTCTGTGTTCCAATTTTAGTATATGCGCTACTGAAGCACTCACCCTCATTTTATTATTTTTGGTGATTCAGATGTATTCTCATTAGGTTTCATATATAAGACTGGTATGTATAACTTGAACAACAATTAAAATTAAAAAGAAAAAATCCTAACATAAAAAAAACAACTGGTATGTATAAGTAAAATCCTTCAGCTTTTGAATGTGACAACCCAGAAAGAATAACAAATACAAAATACTAACCATTATTTATTAAGATTTTGCCTGGCATTGTGCTAAGTGCTTCACTTACACGATCTAATTTCATTCATTCAGGAACCCTATCTGATAGTTATATTATTTGTACATTATGAAGAAATTGATGCTAAAGTTTTAAGGATTCCTTTTCTATATCTACTCCACCTCAATTACAGAAAGAATAAGGCATTATGGAGATGTAGTAGATAAACACCAAATTTTCAGCCTTGTAAGTTATATCAGTATTCATTTTTTCACCTGAAAAAATTAAACAAAATTGTAGTCTGGAAAAGGAGGTGTACTGAGTATCAATCTCAAGCAGTAAAAGTTTTTTTAAAAACTTCTCCTGTAGACTGGTATTTTTATAAAATACAATAAAACTGTCATGGCGGTTTAATATAAACTGTTAAAATAGTTATAAAGGTTTACTTTCACTTTTTGTATTTATCTTGTCAGCATATTCTTCTGTTCAGATAATACAAGGGTGGGCTTTAAGGAAGCACTATCCTTTGCTTCCTAGAAACAAAAACTGTGAAGCCTCCATTATAGGCAAAAATCACAAAATTAGTTGATGTCTCTAGCAAGAATGAATACCTAAAAATTTATGACTTGTTGCTATTTGTACTGTTCGCTACTGCTAACTAATGGCTTAAGTAAGGAGTTTTGTGTGTTTTCCTCCCCACAGATTACCTGACATTAATAGTGAAATTATTTGAGAATGCTAATAGGCTTAAACTTCATGAACAACTAACACTTAACCCGTTCTTAGGGCCAAGTTTATCCAGTAATTTTATAGGCCAACATCTCTCATTAGGCATAATGTCCAGAATTATTAGTTCTAAGGATACAAAAAAATTTTTAAACAAATTTTATCGAGACTTCCGCCAAGATGGAGGTTTAGGTGGATATGCCGTGCCTCCTCACACAACCAAGTTTAGGGACAACTAAATATTAGCATCAGAAAACACAACCAGAACACGGAAAACTGAACTTTTCGGAAGTCCGCTAACAACAAATTCTTCAACCCGACCGGTAAGGGGCAAAACCGGCGACTGGTGAGGAGCTGCAAGGGAGGGCTCGGTCGGACCCGGGCGCGGAATCCAGACGCGCGAATCCAGACGCACGGGTTCCAAACCCAGGATTGGACCTAGTGAGCGACCGAGCAACCCACCGGGTGAGCGACTGCAGAGGAAACAGTGGGGAGGCGGTGCAGCGAGTTGACTGCGGTTGCCTAATTGCGCGCGAGCGAGGGAGTGGGCGGTTGGACCGGCTGCAGCGGCGATACAGGGCGCCGCCATTTCCCCGCTCTGATCACGCCCCCACATACAGCGTCACAACCCAGCGACCTGGGAGTCCAAGGCGCAGTTTCTCACATTTAAAGGGCCAGAACAGACCAAAAATGTCGCAGGGAGACCTCAAAGCCCCAGAGATAAATCTAAGCGACGAAGAAATAGCAAAACTCTCAGACGCACAGTTTAAAACACTGGTCATCAGCTTCCTCACAGATCTGGTTCATTATAGCCACAAATTAGAGAAACATATGAAGGCTAAATTAAGGGAAATGAATGGAATTCCACAGGAAACCCATAGAGATGAAAAGGAAACTGGGACTCAAATCAATGGAGTGGACCAGAAGAAACCAAATAATGGCCAAACAGAAAAGAGTCAAGGAGCAAGAATTCAAAGAAATGAGGAGAGTCTTAGGAACCTCCAGGACATCTTTAAACACTCCAATATCCGAATTATAGGGGGTACCAGAAGGGGGAAAGACACAACCACCAGTGGAAAAACTATTTGAACAAATAATAAAAGAAAATTTCCCCAATCTGGCAAAGGAAATAGACTTCCAAGAAATCCAAGAAGCCCAGAGAGTACCAAAAAAGTTGGACTCAAGAAGAAACACACCAAGGCATATCATAATTACATTAGCCAAAATTAAAATGAAGGAGAGAATCCTAGAAGCAGCAAGAGCTAAGGGGACAATCACCTACAAAGGAGTCCCCATCAGACTGTCAGCAGATTTCTCAAAAGAGACCTTACAGGCAAGAAGGGGCTGGAAAGAAATATTCCAAATCATGAAATCTAAAGACCTACAACCAAGATTGCTCTATCCAGCAAAACTTTCATTTCGAATGGAAGGACAGATAAGGTGCTTCTCAGATAAGACCAAATTCAAGGAGTTCATCATCACCAAGCCCTTATTATATGAAATGTTAAAGGGACTTATCTAAGAAAAAGAAGTTAAAGAAACATGAACAGTGAAGGAACAAGCTCACAGTTATTAACAACCACACCTAAAACGAAAGCAAACTAAAAGAACAGCTAGATCAGGAGTGGAAATATAGAAATGAAGATCTCAAGGAGGGTTAGCAACAGGGGAGTGGGAGGAGGAGATGGGGGGAGAAGGTACAGAAAATAAGTAGCATAGACAGTAGATAGAAAATAGATGGGGGGGGCAAGAATAGCATGGGAAATATAGAACCTAAAGGACTTGAGACACATGGACATAAACTAAAGGGGGATAATGGTGGGGTTGGGGGGGCAGGGTGGAGGGGAATGAAGGGGGGAATAGAACAACTGTAACAGCATAATCAATTTTAAAAAAATAAATTAATTTTAAAAAAAAAACAAATTTTATCTTATTTTTTTAAATTGAGGTATGATCAACACATAACATTATATTAATTTAAGGAGGATAACAATGATTCAGTATTTGTAGACAGTGCAAAATAATCACCAGTTAAATCTAGCAACCATTGTCACCATATAATTACAATTTCTTTCTTTTAAAACTTTTATTAATTTTTAGAGGGGAAAGGGGGGAGAAAGGGAAACATCAATGTGCAAGAGATACATACATCAATCATTTTTCTCTCACACACCCCCAATTGGGGACCTGGCCCACAACCCAGGCATTTGCACCTTGACTGGTAATCAAACTGGCTACCTTTCCGTTCAGAAGTGGGTGCTCAGATCAGGAGTGATCAAGAGTGAACCACAGAAATGAAGACCGCATGGAGGATTAGCAACAGGGGAGTGGGAGAAGAAGAAGGGGGGAGAAGGTACAGAGAACAAGTAGCATAGACAGTAGATAAAAAATAGATAGGGGGAGGGTAAGAATAGTAGGGGAAATATAGAATCTAAAGAACTTGAGACACGTGTTCATGAACTAAAGGGGGGAATGGAGGGGGAGGGGTGTGGGGGGTGGAGGGGAACAGAAGGGGGGAATAGAACAAATGTAATGGCATAATCAGTTTAAAAAAGTGTTGAAAAATAAAATAAATAAAAATAAAAATACATTACTTAAAAAAAAAAGAAGCGGGTGCTCCATCCACTGAGCCACACCAGCCAGGGAAGATTTTTTGTTCTTGTAATGAGAACTCATTTTTTTGAAAGATTTTATTTATTTTTAGAGAGAGGGGAAGGGAGAAAGAGAGGGAGAGAAGCATTAATGTGCGATTGCCTCTTGCACACCACCTACTTGGGGACCTGGCCTGCAACTCAGGCATGTGCCCTGACCAGGAATCAAACTGGCAACCTTTTGCTTCTAAGTCCGACGCTCAATCCACTGAGCCACATCAGCCAGGGCAGAACTTTTAAGATTTACTTACTTAGCAACTTTCACTTGTTACAACAGTTACAACTTTCAATTCTTAGCAATAGTTAATAATACTGTACCATACAGTATTATTAACAACAGTTAATAATATTGTACCATACAGTATTATTAACTCTAGTCACCACTCTGTACATGGTATCCCCATTACTTATTTAATTTATAACTGGAAATTTGTACCTTTTGACTCCTCTCACCTATTTCAACCTCCCTGCCAAACCTCCCTTTTAGTAATCATCTTTAGGATACAGATTTTTAAAAATTTTCAAGACATCTTGCATTATAAAATAAATACAAGCTAGAAAGAACCTCAGACTATCTAGATTAGTTCAAATCTTTTATATTTATCTCTGAGAAGGCTAAATATGTTGTACAAGGTCATACTGTCATACTTCAGTACTTGTAGGCTTCAAAACTTGTCAAACGCTATATACTGGTTGCATTTTGGTGAGAAAAAAAATGTTTTAGCCCTTAGGGCTTGCTTGGGAGTTGTCACACTTGCTAGAACTTGTATGAATCACAATGCCACCCCACAAAAGAAAAATGCTTCATTGCTCAGCCCTCATTGGTTCTGGCACTCATCATGAGTTCCAGAATGAATTAACAATGAGTACCGAGGTACCAATTTATTTATGTATTTTTTTCTATATTCCCTAGTTTTCTTGGTTGATACCTAGACTTCAGATCCAACATAAATTTAAAATAGTTTATTATAGTTCATACAGTTTATTCCTCAGAAATAATTAATAATAATAAACAAAAATAATAATCCTTACTGTTTTAGGTCCTGCAATAATTCACTTCAATTTCTAATTTACCTAATTGCTACTATAACTAAGACCTATTCAATGTTTTTAAAAACAATACAGGAAACATACAGCCTACTCTTGGTCAGGCACAGAACCTTGTCAGTACTCAATGAAACCTGAATAAATGAATTATTGATAGTTTTGAAATGTCTTTGTAAGCAGGGCTGGCACAAATGGAGTATTATGAAAGACTAGGAGATGGGATCACACTTATTTGTGTTTCTATAGAAACTATCTGAATATTTGTTTTATATGGGTTTTTATTCAGTTTTCAAATTCTACTAAGGAGTGCCCCTCAGCTACCAGCAAGCATTTGTAGCTTGTACATTGGCAGAACAAGCTAGAAGCTTAGTGCTGTGACCTGTTTTATAAATAAAGTATCTTGAAAATCAGGCGGTGGGATATATTTACTGGACCATACAATGTGGCTCGCCTTGCATGTATTTTTACAAGTGGGAATTAATGTTTTTATTTTCCCAAGGGCTGAGAAAATTGTCCTTGAGGACTGAGGAGTTGCTGGTCTTTGTTATTTTGAAACTCTATGGACATGCCCCTTTCGGGATGGGCATTTTTATTTCCACTATGTGACTCCTGTATAAAGTTGGCTGTGGATTCTCACGAGGAAGACAGATCTGGTCCTATGCCAGTAGAAGGAAATGGATGAATAAGGAGGGCCCACATCCCCTGCTGCTGACAGTGGCCAATGTCTGCCATAGTGGCTCAGCCCTATTCCAAATATCCACAGAGGCGGCTGTGACATGGCCCAGGGCCCCTTGTTAACTGGCCTGCTCCTGTCAAAGCCAGTCCCCAAGGAAGGTGCACTAGGCCCTTGGAGGCCTGCCTGCAGAGACTGGGGACATTGCCTTTCCACCTGGATTTCACTCTTAGGATAAGCTGCACAATTACAAGAGTCAGGAATATAGTACAACATTTGGCAGTCATTTTAATAAATTCAGTTAAAAAAAAACACACAATATAGGAAACATGGAACCTACTCCTGGCCAGGTATAGAACCTTGTAAGTACTCAGTGGAAGACAGAAATGATAAAGATAGTTTTTAAAAATCATGACCTAACACAAACCAGCTTCACAATCTCAGTTACCTTACCTATAAAATGGGAAATCACTCCTCAGCAAAACAGAAATATTTGCAGGGAATACAGAAGAGATCTTTGAGATAACCTGGACTTTTGAGATAATTTAAATATTTATAAGGGCAGAAAATGAGTCCTATTTCCAGGTCACAAAGCTAATTGAAAGGCAGAACTGATATTTTGTTGGGTACCACTTTGTATGGTACTGGGAATTGCCCCTGTGCAAGCCAGGCTTTGAATGAGGGTCTCTAATGTAAGTCTTAACCAGAATGCTGAAAATGCTGTGAGGCACGCATGACCTGATACTAGCACCAAGGGTTCCCATGGGAAATCAGGCCTAAAGAATGCATTATACCCCTTGAGGCTTGCCTTTGCATTAACCCTGTTGCCAGGAATCAGATATCTAAATCCAAAGCTGAAGGAATGAACCCCTAATCTCATGAACCAAGCCTTAACCACCCTCTAGAAGTCAGCAGACCTAAAAGACTCTGACCTGAGGCAGACCTCTGGTTTCCTCAATTGTTATTTAGGAGATAATATCTGTTTTATGTAACTATGGTCTTTAGACATTGATTGATGAGCTTTGCATGCATTCCCCCGCATATACGGTTCTTAATAAAAGCCTCAGGGCTCAGGGCTCCTCTCCTCTGAGAGATTATGCAGGCTTTTCTACCCAAGCAGATCTTACATTGATAGCCTCATTTCGTCCATGACTCCAGGGGACACTGTGGGACAGGGTCCCCCACATCATTTAAAAATCCAGGTATATCTAATGACTCCTACTAGTTTAGTGCTCTCTTCATCACAAATGAACTACCAGATGTGGTCTCTTCAGTTTAACAAGCATCTGTGACATTACTCTTTACATTGAAACAAGTTGACTTACCTGAATCTGAGAACACTAAAGATGATGACCTTTTAAAACTGGCCCCATCTTTGAAAAGAGGGTTGAAAGTAATGTTCTCTAAAGAGCAACTCTCATTTTTGGATATTCCCACCTCATCTTCAAAAATATTTAAGTCTAGAAAAGAGAAAAACAATTGATCAACTTCCTCTTTATGAGAAATAATATTTATTCTAATAGAAGCTACTGGGTCTTGCAAATTTCAGCATATTCCACTATTAGCCATGTATATTCCCTTCAGCTAAATGATAGTACATTAAAACATTACTAGTTAGAAAAACACACCACAAGCAAAGTTCCACTTACTTTCAGATGCCATTTTCTCAGTTCCTATATGTTTCATTTGTCCTCCAAGATTCTGTTCCTTCTTTTCACAATCTTTAATGTCAAAAGGCTCTTTTTCCTCTCTTCTCTTTTGTTTTATCTTGTCAAAAGTACATTTTGAAACAGAAATTTTGATCTGCATGAAAGAGTTGAAAATATCTGAAAGTATTCAGGGAATTTGATATTTAAAATAACTACCTTCATCTGAGATAACTGTATATAAGCATTAAATATCTACATACAAAATAAACTACATTTCTTAGTTCTTATTTCAGGAATTCTAAAATAAAGAAGAATTATATACTGCTAATATCCAACTGAATCTGTGCCTCAGGATATTGGTCTGTTACTCAATTGTATCCCAGAAAATTGTTTACATAGACACATACACATATACACCCATAGTACATGTATAGTATAAAATATACTAATGCTCTATACCACAATGTGAAGATATTTTGTGGGAAAAAAAAACTATTATTTAAGTGAATAAACATCAAAATTTTCAATTATATTGAAATTTTAAAAATTTCAGTTGAACACTTTCACCAACTCAAATCTGACAGATACAAAACAATAATTTAGTACAGGCTTAAAGTTACCACCCTAAAAATTAAGCAAATACCCTTACGTCTTTTTCATTCTTAACATCAAGATACGATGGAACACTTTGTTGAACTGCTTTTCCATAAATCCCTGATGGGGGTTCAGTATTTTGTTTAACTGAGAATTTATCCCCATTTTCCACAGAAGATGTCATTGATTGGCTGCAGGTTGCCGGTGCTGAATTTGGACTTCCAAATACTCCTGAAATTGATGAACAATCAAATTGCCATTAAATATTTCTGTGATGTCCCGCTGGATAACACAATTTAAGACAAGGCTCTTGTCAGCCTGGCTTGGTAGCTTAGTTTTAGTTAGAGTGTTGTCCCAATATGTCAAGGTTGGGGGTTCAATCCCCAGTCAGGGCAAACATAAGAATCAACGAATAAATGCATAAATAAGTGGAAAAACAAATTGATGTGTCCCTCTTTTTTCAAAAATAACTACCATTTGAATTTAAACCACAGTAAAACTGCCTTAGATATCCTAAAAAGGTCTTAGAAGTATCCAAACTGTAGCTATTTATGTAAACAAAAAATGCCTTCTCACGCTAATATCAACAAATAAAAATGTAGCCCTACCTGGTATAGTTCAGTGGATTGGGTGCAGGCTGTGAACCAAAGGGTCACTGGTTCAATTCCCAGTCAGGCCACATGCCTGTGTTGTGGGCCAAATCCCCAGTGGGGGCCACCTGAGAGGCAACCACACACTGATGTTTCTCTCCCTCTCTTTCTCCCTCCCTTCCCCTCTCTAAAAAAACTAATAAATAAATGAATTTAAAAAATACAAGGCCATTGACTTTAAGAAGTAAACCACGTAGTTAATAAGAAAAATGTTAAATAATCATAAAATATAAAAGCATATACCTTAACAGAATGATAAGAGTATCACAAGACATAATGTCAAATGACATATGTAAGTGATGCGTTCACAGGAAGAAAAGGTTGGTATGCTCTGTGCTCGAGATGGTTTCAATGAACAAAGACTTGAGTGAGGACTGGAAAACACAATGGATTTGGAGAGGACTTCCAGCCAAGACAGAGGTGTAGGTAGATATTCCTTGTACAATCAAAATAAGGACAACAAGAATTTAGAAATAAAATAACAACCAGAAATGACAGAAAATTGAATTGTATTGAAGTCCGACAACCAAGGAGTGAAAATAGACAAATTCATCCAGACCAGTAGGAGGAGCAGAGTCGGTTGGCCAGGCAGAGTGGGGTCACAGCAAAAAAGCAGTGGCACTGGGCATGCAAGGCATTAGCTGAAAAACCCTGGACACACAAGACGGCAACAGGCAGACCCAGTGAGGCAGCAATTGTGAAGTGGGGCACAGCACGCAAGGCAGGTGGCTGACTAGGTGGTACCACATTGGTACACAGATAAACCAGGCAAAACTGGGGAGTGAGACAGACCGAGTAACCCAGGGTCCCAGCTCGGGGAAATAAAGCCTCAAAACAACAATGGAAAAAACCTCTGGGGGCTGAGGCAGTGGGAGAAACTCCCAGCCTCACAGGAGAGTTCGTTGGAGAGACCCACAGGGTCCTAGCACATACACAAGCTCACCCACTTGGGAATCAGCACCAGAAAGGCTCAGTTTGCTTGGGGGAAGCGGCAGAAGGGACTGAAATCCGACAGAGAGCAGAGCAAGCACCACTGTTCCCTCTTGGACCCCGCCCCCACACACAGCATCACAACCCAGCCATGTGGGTTGCCCCACCCTGGTGAACACCTAAGGCTTCGCCCCTTACTAACAGGCACAAGACAAAAAAATGGCCCAAATGAAAGAACAGATCAAAGCTCCACAGCAAATACAACTAAGCAACGAAGAGACAACCAACCTATCAGATGCACAGTTCAAAGCACTGGTGATCAGGATGTTCATAGAATTGGTTAAATATGGTTGCAAATTAGATGAAAAAATGAAGGCTACACTAAGTGAAATGAAGCAAAATGCACAGGGACCCAATAGTGATGGGAAGAAAACTGGGACTCAAATCAATGGAGTGGTGCAGAAGGAAGAAAGAAACAACCAGACAGAAAAGAACGAAGAAACAAGAATTCAAAAAAATGAGGAGAGGCTTAGGAACCTCCAGGACATCTTTAAATTTTCCAATATCCCAATTATAGGGGTACCAGAAGGGGAAGAAGAACAGCCATGAGTGGAAAACTTATTTGAACAAATAATAAAGGACAACTTCCCAATCTGACAAAGGAAATAGACTTCCAGGAAATCCAGGAAGCTCAGAGAGTCCCAAAGAAGTTGGACCCAAGGAGAAACACACCAGGGCACATCATCATTACATTAGCCAAGATTAAAATGAAGGAGAGAATCCTAGAAGCAGCAAGAGATAAGGGGACAGTCACCTACAAAAGAGTTCCCATCAGACTGTCAGCTGATTTCTCAAAAGAGACCTTGAAGGCAAGAAGGGGCTGGAAAGAAGTATTTCAAATCATGAAAGGCAAGGACCTACATCCAAGATTGCTCTATCTAGCAAAGCTTTCATTTAGAATGGAAGGGCAGATAAAATGCTTCTCAGATAAGGTCAAGTTAAAGGAGTTCATCACTACTAAGCCCTTATTATATGAAATGTTAAATGGACTTATCTAAGAAAAAGAAGATAAAAATATGTATAGTAAAATGACAGCAAACTCACAATTACTAACAACCACACCTAAAACAAAAACAAACTAAGCAAACTACAACAGGAACAGAACCGCAGAAATGGAGACCCATGGAGGGTTAGCACCAGGAGAGTGGGAGGAGGAGAGAGGGGGGAAAGGGTACAGAGAATAAGTACCACAGATGGCAGGTAGAAAATAGACAGGGGGAGGGCAAGAATAGTATGGGAAATGTAGCAGCTAAAGAACTTATGACACATGGACATGAACTAAAGGGGGAGAATGTGAGTGGGAAGGGGTGTGCAGGGTAAAGGGGAATGAAGGGGGGAAATGGGACAACTGTAATAGTATAATCGATAAAATATATTTTAAAAATCTTCCTTAAAATTTCTTAAAAAAAAACAAAACCACAACACAATGGATATGGAGATGAGAGGAAGGCAGGAAGGACATCCTATAAAATAGGGATACTTATAAGCAGAGTTAAAACAAGTATAAAGCCTATATGTGCAGTGAATAAACTGATTTGTCACAAGGCAAGTAGGAAAATAACAGAAAATAAGTTTGTAAGAGTAGGTTGGAAGCAATCTGAGGAGGGCCTTAAAATAACCTAATGAGACTCTATCAGGCAAAGAATTCAGGAACGCTTTCCAGACATTTCATTCTATTTACCCAAAATAAGATGTATTCCCTTGATGCCTATCATTATGTTCTCATTTTTCAATTAAAAAATAGACTAGTTGGGATGTGGTAGGGGAATTCTTTCTCAATGCATATGGATATCCAGTTATCAAGTTTTACACTTTAAGTATCTTACAATTTTATTCACCAATTAAACATCAATAAAGCTGGAAAACCCCACCTAATTTTAAAGGATATTTGTAAATGTGTTTCAAAGGTCCCCTAACCCCCCTGAAATATAGAACAGGGGTTAATTCTGATTTGGCTAGACACTATATAAGCAGTAATAAAATTATATTGTTATACTGATTACTAAAAGCTTACAAATAAGAACTACCATTTGAATTTAAACTATGGTACAACTGCCTTAGCTATCCTGAAAAAGTCTTAGAAGTATCCTAACTGTGGCTATTGTGTATACAAAAAATTTCTCTGAAAATTACTGACATGAATTTACTATAGTCTGGAGAATAGAAATGTGAAGTATTCACTTCTAATTCTTTTCATTTAATAACTTTTCAAAAAGAAAATTCTCTTAAGCACCTGAATCACACTCTTCTCTATTCTGTATTGATATATTTCGCTTATGTGCAAAATATTTTGTTTATGTACATAAAATATTTTGTATTTTAACAAAATACAATTAAAAAGCTAAATAATTTTGAAATACCTTTTCCAACAACTACTACTGAATCTTCTGATGAGGTATTTGTGGATGTAAAGTCAGAACTGGAAATTTGTTGTAAATTTGATGATGACCCTGTAAATCCTAAAGAAAAAAAAACCAACATTTAAAAATACTTACATATATGTATGTTATATAGTATTTTAGGATAGCATAATATGGTATTTTATTTTCCAATTTTGTAATATTTTTTAAAGTGGAAATTTATTTCATACAAAGAATTTACAATGTACTTATTCACACATATTCATTAACTCAATAAATATTTATCATTAGAATACTTAGTATAAACTAGGCACCAGAGGGAAAAGAAACCCTCCTTCCTTTAAGAAGTTTATAATGCCCAAGTTGGTGGGAAAGATGCACAAGAAAACAGGCAGAGCATGACTGTCAAATAACAAAAGGGTAACCATGAAGTAAAGCCTCTAACCCTTGGAAACAGATCAAGTCAATCTCACAGCAATCTGTACTTTCCTAGGTTAACTTTCACCTCCGATTGTAATTATTTATTTAATTATCCTCTCTCCTATTAGACTTTAAGCTCTATGGAAATAGAATCCATGTCTAGTTTTGATCATCATTCTTTTCCAGGGCCAATTAGTATAGTGCTTGGCACATAGCAGATATTCAATAAATCTATGTCAGATGAACGTTGTAAGGTAGAAAAAATAAGCAAAATACAATTAATTTAGGGCCTGTGAAAGAAAACCATGATAAATTTAATGTAAAAACTGCTTAAATAAATTAAGCAAATATCCAGTCAAGAGAAAGGTATAGGTAAACACAGTACTCAAATTGTCCTACAACCAAATCAGAATTGCAACTAAACTACAGAACAATCATCATTCATAACCTCCAGAAATCTAGATGAACTGAAGTCCTACAACTAAAGATGTAAAGAAGAAGCCACATTGAAACTGGTACGAGGGGCGGAGACATGGAACAAGCTTATTTCACACATGCACATAAAGGAGGTAAAAATCAAGAGGGATGTCTTGATTTGAAGGTACCCCCTGAGGAAGAGACAGAGAGCGAAGATTTGAAAAGCTATGGGAAATTGACAGAAAACTTCCCTAACCTGGTGAAGGAGCTAGACATTCAAATCTAGGAAGTAGAGAAATTAAAACAAAATAAACCCAAAGAGGCCCACGTGAATACACATCATAATTCAAATGCCAGAAGTTAAAGACAAAGAGAGAATATTAAAAGCATCAAGAGAAAAGCAGTTAGTTACCTACAAGGAAGATCTCATAAGACTGTCAGCTGATTTCTTAACAAAAGCTTTGCAGGCCAGAAGGGACTGGCACAAAATATTCAAAGTGATGAAAAACAAGGACGTACTCTACCCAGCAGAGCTATCATTTAGAATTAAAGAATAAAGAGCTTCCCAGATACAAAAAAGCTAAAGGAGTTCATTACCACCAAACAAGTATTGTAAGAAATGTTAAAAGGTCTTCTGTAACAAGAAGAAAAAAAGATAAAAAATATGAATAATAAAATGGCAATAAATACATATCTAGCAACAATGAACTTAAATGCAAATGGGTTAATTTCTGCAATCAAAAGACATATATATGGAGGCTGAATGGAAAACAAAACAAGACCCTTATGTATGTTGTCTGCAAGAGTTTTGGTTCAGATCAAAAAAACACACATGGCCCTGGCTGGTGTGGCTCAATGGATTGAGTGCTGCCCTGAGAACCAAAGCATTGCCGGTTCAGTTCCCAGTAAGAGCACGTGCCTGGGTTGTGGGCCAGGTCCCCAGAAAGGGGCATGTGACAGACAACCACACATTGAAACTTCTCTCCCTCTCCTTCTCCCTCCCTTCCCCTCTGTCTAAAAATAAAGTATTAAAAAAAAAACACACATAAAGACCAAGAGTAAAGGGGTGGAAAAGATATTCCCTGAAAATGGAAACAAACAAGCAAACAATCAAAAGCTGGGGTAGCAATACTAATACCAGATGAAATAGACTTTGAAAAGAAGACTATATAACAAGAGACAAAGGAGGGCCCAGCAATTCAAGTTCTGGGTATTTATCCAAAGAAATCCAAAGCACTAAATCAAAAAGATATATACATCCATATGTTCAATGCAGCATTATTTACAATAGCCAAGATATGGAAGCAACCTAAATGTCCATCAACAGATGAACAGATAAAGCAGTGATGGATTTGTACAATGGAATATGATCCAGCCACAAAAACAGAATGAAATCTTGCCACCTGCAACATCATGGGTATACCTAGAAGGTATCATACCGAGTAACATATGTCTGACAGAGGAATACAATGTTGTATGATTTCACTGACATGTAGAACCTAAAAAACAAAATAAATAAACAAGCTGAACAGAAACAGACTTTAGATACAGAGAATATTCTGACAGCTGCCAGATGGGAGGAGTTTTGGGGAGATGGTGAAAAAGGTGAAGGGATTTCAAAGTATAAACTCGTAGTTACAGAACAGTCATGAGATTTATAAAGTACAGCATAGAGAATATAGTCAATAATACTGTAGTAACTATGTAGTGTCAGATGGGTTCTAAATTTACTGAGCTAATCACTTAGTAAGTTATATAATTTATTAAGTTGTACACCTGAAACTAATATAATAGTGTATGTTAAGTAAAAAAAAATTATTTAAAGTAAAAAAAAGCAAAGAGAAGAACATGTATAGTATATTTATTACTTGAAAAACCTGTTTATGTATATCATATCTTTGTATGAACATGAAAAAGGGCAATAATAATAATTATATGTATCGGACAAAAATAACTAGTTAATAAATAAAATGTGACAAAAATTAAGCAGATAAATTATTTTGCTAACTTGCTAAAGCTAATGACTTATTTTGGCTATATGTGAACATGGCAGAGATTAAAGAAACAAACCCGTGTAGGTGATCATTTTTCATATTTTGCTTTTAGTTTAGGATAATCAAAATTAATGTTCATTGTTGACAGCACATGCCAACTACCCGAAACATCAGATAGGCCCAACAGGTGTTCAGTAACAACAGGAAGAAAGTTCCAGTAAATGAAACAATTTTCTCAACAATAATCCACAAACATAAAATTTATACATAAAGTACCAAGAGATGATTCAATAATTAGACAAATTTCATGAGAAAATATTTAAAGAACATGTTATCTTTAAGTAATTTAACTTCATTTATCAGGGAGGCCGACATAACTAATCATATTTAATGTTACTTTTTCTTTTTACACTGTATTTTCTTCTAAACAAAGATGTATTGCTCAAATTTTAGTTCTAAAATATAAAGGAAAATATTTTAAAAGATCCTTTACATATAAACTATCCTTATATAATTACTTTGTTAGTTTTGTCCAATATATTCAAATAGAGAAAGAAAAATATTAACTCATGGAAACTAGTTTGCTGACACTCTAAGCATCCATTATTAATCACTTTCTCAAGTCATTCATTGAGCTCCAGATTGTTATCATGTTAGAAAATGAGGTTCAAAGGGTAACCAGCATAGGAGAGGAATAGGAAAAAGGTAATTCTGAGATTTAATCCTATAAAAGTTTGAGTTTTCTTACAATATGAATTCACTCATATATGCAACTCATTGTGATATTTCTTTTGGAAGCCTTTTCATTCACTGTACCAGTGCACTCAGTATTTAATCAGATTTGAGAATGTAATTTTTTAGTGATTGTGCCCTCAGCTACACTATTAGTTTTGGATAGCTCATCACCACTCCATTCCTTTAACATGTGGCACTGAACACCTTTATATAACAAAGCATAAGAGGGATATAAGAATAATAGTATCTTTATTTTTAAGTATCTTATCCTACTTCAGCCCAGGACAGTGGGGAAAGCTTTCTAAAGAAATGGCTATTTTAAGCCAGTATTCAAAGAGCAGACAGGACCTGGACACATGAAGATTGGGGAAGGGCATGTAGGCAGACTATACATGCTAAGAAAACTGCTAGTATTAAAAATGCAAAAGCAAAGGACATGAAAGGCAGTACAACAGTAAGAAATCATGCAAAAAAAAAGTTAAGCTAAGGTAAGATTCTTAAGGATATGAAAAATTAAGCTACAGAGTAGAAAATTTATTATGTGGGAACAGAGAACCACTAAAGATTCTGAAAATGTGACAGAAGGTGTCTTTACTTAAGAAAGAGAATTCTGGTTGAGTATGCAGCCTGCATAAAAAGGGACAAAAAATAAAAGGCAAGATGTCTGAGCTGAAAGCTCCTATAATTATCAGGGAGAGGTAAGGAAGGCCCAAGTTAAACTGAGAAGTACTGGTAGGATGGGCCACTGATTAAACTTGGAGGGTAAGGAAAAGATGCCCAAGTTTTAAGTCTCCATAACTGGGAAAATGCTGATGCTACTAACGGAAATGGATAACAAAGGAAGAGAAACAGGTCTGAAAGGAAGGTAAGTTTGGGTTTGAACATGTTTATTCTTGTTGACTACAGAGATCATGTTTGGTTTAGAACTGGAAGTGTGAATGTGAAGTAATTTTCTGCAGTAGAATTAACTGCTGGTCAAAAGATATATATATTTTTATGATTCTGCTGTCCCAAAACGGATAATACTTGCAGTCAATCAATATATTTAGCAATTATTTCAAAACAATTATCATTATAAAAATAAATTAAAAAAAACAAAACAAAAAAACCCCGTCATTCTTTTATAAAAACAATGAGTAACTGCCCTGGCTGGTGTGTATTCAGTGCTGGCCTGAGAACCAAACAGTCACCAGTTCAATTCCCAGTCAGGGCACATGCCTGGGTTGCAGGCCAGGTCCCCAGTAGGAGGCATGCAAGAGGCAACCACGCATCGGTGTTTCTCTCCCTCTCTTTCTTCTCCCCTCTCTAAAAATTAATAAGTAAAATCTTTAAAGAAAAAAAACACAATGAATAACTAATCTCTTCCACAAAGAACAGATACTGAATTATATTATGGATTAAATTTTAAGAAATTTACAAAAAAAGTTTCTAATCAAGATCTCTTAATTTGAGTTATTTCCACAAAAAATACCAGTCCTAGAATGCCTAATTGCCTGCACACATATGACTTAAGATATAAGAAATAACAAAAGTTGACCTTATTACAACCACTGCTGTCATACAAAAAAAAAACCACAGCTTCTTACACTTACTGGATGACTTCTAATTATTCTATTAAAATATTTATACCCTTCAAAATCACTCCTTACCCAAAAGGAATTTTTAAAATGTAGCTATAATAAGATCTCTGAAACATGGACAGGGCAATAACAGAAATGCTACCTGCTTACTAAGTTAAAAAAACAAAAAATGTAAATTATTAGGGAAAACAAAGAAGCCTTCCCAGGTTCTCCTACAGGGAAATTATTATACTCCTGTTTGTAGTTTTACTCGTGGTTGCAGCCTAAGTAGGCATTTGAGAGTCATTTGCTAATATGATTTTTCCACCCCACCTTAGTGGTAAAGTGTGTTATTTAAAAAATGGGAGTGTGTGTGTTCTGGGAGTAGGGGACAGTATCAGTAAGGAATCCCTAGTTTTAACCTGTTAGGCAGTTGCTGCTCTGCAACAGCTCCTCAGGCAAGCCCAGAAGCCAATAGATGAACTGGTGTGTTCTCCTACTTAGCAAAATTATTTAAGTAACATTATCAGCAGAAGGGTAAGAGAAAAAAAATCCAAAACGGAGAAATTTCAGTTGTTTATTGGCATGCTTAGGGAGGATTCTGATTTAGAGACATTCAATCTTACAATTTAACTTGTCATGAAATTTACTAACCTTTTGTATGCTTATGTCTTGGGTGTTCCTTATTTTGTATTTTTAAAACACTAGAGGAAATGTCATATGACCTATTATCTTCAAAATCACCACATCCAAACCCAGAGTTCATACGCTGACCAATTATGCTTACATTGGTTGTTGTAATCCCTATAAAATAAAATACATAAAAATATTTATTTGAATGATTTCGGTAATGTAACAGATACATACCTCCCCTCTAAGTCTGTATTGCCTTCTCTAGCCTTTTAAAAATGTCAGTAACACAGCAGTTGAAATGATAACATCACAATATCTTTTCAATTGCATGTTATTTAAAATTTTTTAGTATTTTTTACTTAATAGCAAAGTAAGAACATTTATGATAAGCCATCCCACAACATTTTATAAAGCAGGCTTTAAAATTACAATGAAATACAAAATTCAATGTTAAAGAGGTAATCAAATATATATACATTTAGAAATATGACAAGCATTTAATGTTTAAATGACATTTTAAACTTTACAACAAAAAGAAAAAAAATTACTTAGAATGTTTGAGCTGTGTCCTGAAATGTATTCCTCATTTCTCTCTTTGCTCCCACCCTTGTGTAATGGGTCTGCCCTGGTCTGGCTGGTAAGGCAGTACACCACATAGTGACTAAGAGCTCATAATCTGGAATCTCACTTCCTGACTTTAAATCATAGCACTGCCATTTAAACCACTGAGAACCTGGGCAACACACCTACCCTTATTTGTAAAATGGGGATAACAGTAGTACTTCTTCCAGAACTGTTGTGAGGATGAAATGAAGAAAACAGACGTAAAGGGCTTAGCACAGTGCCTAGCATGGTATAAATTCCCAAATGTTACACTCCTATTTGAATTAAAAACAAATCAAAACCCTACATAGACCTCTTTTTAATAAATTTTAATCCATATGTTTGAATGTTTAAACTGACCACCCCATACTAATATTCTACAGCTGAGAAAAACCACCAAATATCTACTAAATGAAAACCCTAGGCAATATATATGAAGTCACCACCCATTTATATATATAGCTCTTAGGTAAACCACTGAGTAGTAATAATAAAATATAACGTTTTTAGCTCTGGCTGGTTGGCTCAGTTGGTTGGAACATTGTCCTGTACACCAAAAGGTTGCAGGTTCGATCCTCGGTTGGTCACATACAGCAGGCAACCCAATCAATATTTCTTTCTCACATCAATATTTCTCTTGGAAAAAAAAAATCAATTAGAAACATATCCTTGAGTGAGGATTATAAAAAAACCAAAAAACAAAATACATAAAAATCAACCCCAATGGATTAGATGATAAGTGACCTGACATCAGGCCTAGTGATACTTTTTTGGAATTGACACCAAAAGTGAAAGCAACAAAAGTTAAAAATAAGTGAGTGGGATTACCTCAAGCTGAAAAGCTTCCACACAGTAAAAAAAAAAATCAACAGTATGAAAGAAAATATTTCCAAATAGCATATGTGCTAAGGGGTCAATTTCCAAAATATATTTAAGAAATTCATGCAACTCAATAGCAAAAAAATTAACATCCAATCTAAAAATGGGCAGCTCTGAATAAAAATTTTTCCAAAGAAAATATAAAGATGGCCAATAGGTACATGAAAAGATGCCCAGCATCACTAATCATCTGGAGAATGCAAATAAAAATCATGATATATCACCTCATACCTGTTAGAATGGCTATTATCTAATAGACAAGAAATAAAAAGTATTTGGTGAAGATGTGGACAAAGAAAACGCTTATGCACTGTTGGTGGGAATTAGTGCAGCCAGTATGAAAAACAGTATGGAAGTTCCTCAAAAAATTAAACAGAGAACTACTATGTGATCCAGAAACTTCAGTTTTTGGTATATATCCAAAGAAAACAAAACCAGTGCCTTCAAAAGATACCTGCATTTCCACATTCACTGCAGCATTATTTACATTAGCCAAGATATGAAAACAACTTACCTATATTTTTGGACTATAAGTCACACCCCCCACTGATTTGGGAGGAAAATGGTGGGTGTGTCTTACAGTCCAAATATAGCTTTACATTTATTTACATTGGTGAACTATTGTGTCATTTATCTTATTAAACATTTTACCACATTTTTTTGCTTCAAAATTTTTCCCCGTTTTCCTCTAAAACCTAAGTGCATCTTATGGTCCAAAAAATACAGTAAGTATCTACCTATTGGATTAAAAAGATGTGTTATATATGTACAATGGAATATTAGCTATAAGAAAAGAATGAAATCTTGCTATTTGCAACAACATGGATGAAGCTTCTGGGCATCACAATATGTAAAATAAGACAGAAAGAGATAAAAATACTGTACACTCTTCCTTATATGTGGAATAAAACAAGGTTAAAGATATAGAGAACAGACTGGTAACTATAAAATTCTAACTCTGAAATGTATTGATTATCATTTTTGACATCACTTACAATAAAAGTCATACTTTCTATAAACTATTTATAAAACAGTCATACAATACCTATACTGGGGCTTTGTTCAGCTATCTGGAAGATTTTATTCTTTGTAGAAGAAAGTCTTGTTACACAAGGTTTTGATCCAAATGTTGGAAATACATCTGACCTACAATCAAACAAAGTAATTTCAATAAACTTTTTATAATCTTAAATCAAACACTCTATTTTATTGGTACTCCTAGTTCACCTTTGAACTTCCAACCTTTTTAACATACAGTCATTCTCACTTATTCATGAGATGATAGCCAAAGGAATGTAAAACTCTCCACCTTTTACTGTAATAATCTTCTGCTGGGTCCAAAAAACAACTAATCCAAACAGAGTCCATTCCAAACTAAAAATATGACTCTAATTATCTAATATACTATCTTCCTTCATATATAATAATATAAAAAGAGACTTAACTATATGATAAATAAGAGATCAGCAACAAATGAGTTTAGTAAATAATACCAATTTCCTCTTGGACTATCATTTGCTGTATTTTCCTGACTTTGTAAAAGGCCTACAGGCCTTATTTCACAAGGAAAGCAAACCAAAGAATGTTAATCTTACTGTAGGAAAACTTTTAAATAAGTGTTGTAAAGTCAGTAGTCCAATGATAGGTATCATAAACAAGAGTTATTATGAAGGAGTAAAATTATTCATAATTGGGTAGGCATATTTGTTCATTGGCCTAACTAGAAATCAGTTAAACATTTTAGAAGAGTAATTTCTCTAGAACAGATTACTATAAATTTACATTTATACTCAGTATAATTCACTTGTATGAAAAAGTATTTCAGTCTCTAGAAGGGTGGTTCTCAACAATTTTTTCTCCCCAAACCACTTAAGGATGAAGCCCCTACATGAAGTTGTAGTGGCTTTCTTTGGCCATGATTCTAAGGGCAGGATGTGAGCTGCTTGGGAATAACTGCTCTAAAGCTATTAAACTTAAATGCAGAAACACTAAATCCATTGAAGATAATTCAGTCCACATACAAAGGTATACTGAACTCACTTCTCAGAGTTCCGTATCGGAAGACATTAACTCCATGAGGCAACGGAGGGAACAGTGAATTCTAAATGTTAGAGTATCGAATGAATTTCTTTTCTCAACTGGGTACCAAATTACTTACAGGACCTTGCAACTGTAGTAGTACATGACATAAAATTTCACCTTCATGGAAGGGAAGGACTTTAAGGTCTAAAAGGTTAATATGTATTTGAAAAAGATAAATATATATTTGAAATGTCTCATAACAATGAAAAAATAGTTACTTTACCAGCTCACATATCCATTCCAAATTCATTTTGTAAAAATGTTGCATTAGTTTACCTAGGTAATTACAACAAAGGACTTTCCAGTAAGAAAAAAATTTGCAAAATTGCAAAATAAGCTGCTATTTAAATTAAAAATGAAAATAAAATCAGAGGATGAGAAAAACTTCTCACAACAGGACACAAAAATTCAGTTTAATTTATAAACTGCTGAAATAAAACACCTTTTTTCATTAAAGTTAATAGAATACCATCTCTCTTTTGACTATGCTTCTAGTTTACCTAAGTGAAAATAAATTTAATTGCAAATATTTACATCTAACAGTTGTATCTAAACATGATTCAGGATAAAATTAAAGAAAAATAAAATTTAAAAGTCTGACAAGATTAAGTGCTAACAAGTATGTGAAACAATTAGAACTCTCACACATGGCTGCTGGGAATATAAAATGGCAAAAGCATCATAGAAAACTGTTTAACAATTACTGAAAAAGTAAATGTATATCTTTTACTCTACTCTTAGGTTATTGTCTATAACAAAGAAGGATTCTCTGAAATCCTAAAATTTTGTCACAGAGATCTCACAAACAAAGTTGGGATCACTGTTGAAGACTTAAGAATTCATTAAGGTAATCTTAAAAAAAATCTATTGCTACACTAAAAAATATTCTGTCAGTGTGGGGTTGCCAGTACTATAATTCCAACACGACTGCTTTAAGATGATGCCCAAGAGGGCTGCAAAAGCTATGGCATGAAGTCCTACAAAATAATAGAATATAAGAAACAGTAGAGCCCTGGCTGGTGTAGCTCAGTGGATTGAGTGCGGGCCTTCAAACCAGAGAATCACGGTTTGATTCCCAGTCAGGGCACATGCCTGGGTTGCAGGCCAGTTCCCAGCAGGGGATGTACGAGAGGCAACCACACATTGATATTTCTCTCCCTCTCTCCTTTCCTTTCCCTCTAAAAATAAATAAATAAATAAATATTAACAAAAAGATTAAAAAAAAAAAGAAACAGTAGAGTAACAGCTAGGCGGTGCTGATGCATAAATTAGAGGACACTGGTGCTGAGTTTTAAATGAAAGCAGTAATATCAGCTATAGGTCAATTGCCAAAGAGTCAATTGGTGCTGAGTTTTAAATGAAAGCAGTAATATCAGCTATAGGTCAATTGCCAAAGAGTCAATGACCCATAGAAGAGCTAAAAAACAAGAAATACTGTGGTAAATTTTAGACAGGCAATTGAAAAAGTGGGGCTTGGGAGAATAGATATCATACATATTAATTTAGGTGCTCTAGATTATAGCTGGGACTGTGTTGTCTCTCTCCACTGCCACCTCGAACCAAAGCCAAGCAAAGTAATATGTATAAACTTTTCCATTGTCTTTTAAATGTATTTTAACACTTTAAAAATTAGAAAATTGTTTTAAAGTTTTTTTTCAAATATAATAGTAGAGCTTTAGAAACAGATTACAGATTATCCTTCGTTTAACAAGTCAAAACGTAAAATACATTATTCTCTTTCCCTGGGGAGTAGTAGACAGAGAAGAAGTCAATGATTCTTGGCTGTAAACTCCACTTTCACTGTAAGAGCTGATGTTTGGAGAGGAAGACCGAGATGGAGAATCCACAGTCAAGTCGAGCTTAATTGCAGAATCAGGGCTTTCAAGATCAGACGTACTGCCGCTCAATTTTGCTCTTTTCTTGGCTGCACTGTTACGAAGGGACCTAAGAGAGCTCTGCATCTAAGAAAAAATAAAAATAAGTAACTTTACGAAATAATTATATTAGTAAAAGTTATTCTTAGATATTTAAATCCATAAACCAAATCTAGCTAGCCACTTTTCTTCAATCCAGTACTAACCAGATGGATGTTAACATTTGTGCACATAGTATAAATTAAGATTTCATCACTTAGATATTTATAAACAACCCACTGATTGTAGACTCCTGAAAAGGAAGGATCTCAAGCTATTATTCACCATGGCAATGCCAGCACTGGGCACAAAGACTAAGCTACTGTAATAATTCAATTAATAAATGAATCACTGAATCAGATCATAGGCAGCAGAGTGAGTTTAAGTCACAGAGATCCAGCTGACCTTACGTAACTTGTGTGCTTATGTGGCTACTCAGAAGTTCTATGAGATTAGCATAAATGTAATCCATTTTCTAAATATTAAAGTTCATATCCACCTTGCCAGAGTTATGAGTTCAGAGAATAACAGATCATTTTATGTAACTCCTAAAGCCAAGTATTTCTAGAAGTGCAGAGCAGAAATCATTACCTGAAACTAAAATATTAAAGTTGGGAATAAAAATATGAACAAATTAAGGAACACAGAAGTATACACAAGCTGTGTTTTGTTTACATTTTGATTATAACAATTACAATAGCTGGTTCAGCAGTATGGCCATTTCTCTAGTAAATCTTTGAAAGATTGAACATCCAAAAAAGATTAGTAAGCTCTTACATTTACTAATAATTGTATTTTTAAAATTACCCTTTTGACCTGGCTGGATAGCTCAGTTGGTTAGAGCACTGTCTCAATATGTCAAGGTTGTGGGTTCGATCCCTGGTCAGGGCACATATAAGAATCAACTAATGAAGGCATAAGTAAGTAGAACAACAAATCAATGTTTCTACCACTCTCTCCCTATCTCTCTGTCTCTCCCTCTTTTTCTCTGTCTCTAAAAAATTTTTTTAGTTACCCTTTCAATTATACAATTAGAGAAAAAGGCTTATTTTTAAGTTATAAACACAATGCGAAAATATATAATCAGATGACATTTATGTATTATTGTAGTTAAGTGCCTCTTCTTTAAGTTTTTTTCTTTAAATAAATTCCCTTCCAAGTACCACTGAAAGACAATGAAAAAATAAACATAAAAATAAGAAAAGATTTTTATAAGCAGTTAGAATTTGGAATGACTAACTCATTAAGAACCAATTTTGGTACTTTATTAGTTTTACACATGCTTATTATTAAAGAAATGCTTTTAAAATATGCATTAATATTTATTTTTACTGAGCAAACAATCTGTATGTGATGTTTACATCTTTAAAATTCATTTAAAAAGGCCACAAATAGTCAATACCTAGTGTTTCAGTTTACACAGTTAATAATGTAAAACACTGTTTTAAACCTGACATCAGGCAAACTGAAATGACAAAAAGGAAGCATCTATGAAAACAGTGCTCTGAATCCAAAGTAATATAGCAGCCACATTCCTTCTCTGGCATATTCAAAGGTACAGTTATCATATTGGCAATACATTTTTATAGTTTAAATGGAGTGACCGAGGAGTCAAAGATGAGTATCCAATATGATCTCAATTTCATAAGATAAATAAACTTGCGCGCATGCACAAAAGACACGCTCAAGAATGGGGAGGAAACTACGTTGTGTCTTTTATTTAACAAACTACAGAAATGATCCCTGAAAGTACAGTCCTGTGTGTCTCATTTATATACAAAACAGAAACAAATGACAAATTTTCATTTGGGAAGGGTTAATGTAAGAGTATATTGCTATATTATACTTACTTTAAAGTTTTTAATTTATTATTGATTTTAGAGAGAGAAGAAGCAGGGGGAGAGAGTCAGAGACCAATATTGATTTGTGCTCTACCCACATATGTATTCAAGGGTTGCTTCCTATCTATTCCTTGACTGGAGATTGAACCCACACTCTGGCATATGTATTGGCGTAATGCTCTAACGAACTAAGATACCTGGCCAGGGCACCTTTAATTAAAAAACAAACAAATAAAACAATATATATATATATATACACATAGAAGAAATACTTAAAGTAAAACACATTATAGTGTGTTAACAGTAAATTATTCTGGGCAGTGGAATTTGGTGTAATGAATCTTCTTCCTAGTACTTCACTGAAGTTTCTGCATTTTCCATAATGAATGTAAAATATTTTTATAACTAAGAAAACATGTACTGGGATTAAACACTACTTGATTTTTACTCGGATAAAACTACTATATTATAGAAAATTACAAGCATTTAAAAATAATTAGAAACAATATTTAGTTCCAACCTCTTCTTGATCCAAATCTTTATCCTTGATATTTAATTCTGAAAGATCAATTTTAAGACTATCTTTCTCACTCTTCCAAATATCATCAGACTCTTTCTTTTTGGGTCCCACTGTGCTTAAACTGGCTTTATCAGGCAGAAGGCTGATTCCCCTTGGTATGGGAGGGACAGGCTTAGTCCCATTCAGGCCCCGGCGGGAGGATGGTGATCTCACCAAAGCAGGTGTAAGTTGAACTGGAGAAGGTTTTTCTTGAGAATTTTCTCCTGCATAAAAAATGTATATTTTACTTTTTATCACTTTTTTTACTTTCAGAGAAGTGGAAGTTTTAATCACAAGTGTTTAGAATACAGTATTTTTAAATTAAAAGTCACATTATCTTTTATTAGAAATAGAGTACTACTTAAAATGAGATAAAAGTATCACTGTTCCCTGAAACGAACATAACAAAAATGAGCCACAACAAATTTATTTATATAGACAAAAATATTAAATACCAAGTTAAATTTCTATCTTCATACACATCACTATGACTATTATTTGTAAGGTAATGTCCATAATAAACTGGAACAGTTACTTTTCTTGCTTGATTTAATTATATAAACAACATTTGAAGGACTACTATATGCAAAGCAGCAGTAACACTGGTCACTGAGGAGAACAAGTTGAACAATGTCTCAGCTTTCAATACAATATTTGATCTTGTAGGAAAGACAAATTCAGAAAGAAATTATTAATACAAGGGAATGAAGGTTCAGTGCTAACACAAAGTGATAAAGTTGACTATGAGTTAAAGTGACCTTATGTTTACAAAGTGGAACATTAGTATTGTTTAAAGGTGAAACATCTTACCTCAGACACTGAGGATAGAAAAGTGTGTGCAACATAGGGGTTGCCTTTAACAGATTTTTATCTGAGACTGAATCTGCCTTGAATAAACTTATATGCTGATTTCATGATTTTGGAGTGGGCTATTGTTAAGAGTATTTTACTTAAAAACTAAATTCATAAAAATAATTTTAACATACACCAAGCATTCCATAATTAGTGAATAAATACTAGACATTATAGTATTTATATGAATGACATTGTATATTTGTAAAGCTAAAATTCATTAGTAGGTTCTCAGGCCGTTCAAAGTCATGTCCATTACAAAGCATTATTTTTTGCCTAGTTCTGAAAAAAGGATTCTTAAATGGCAGTATCAGAAAAAGAACTGACGATTTCAACTGAATTTTATATTACATATTTGATCTAGTTAATATACTGTTAAATATTTTCCAAATATTTACTAATGCACAGAAATAAATATAATTTACAAGCTTTCAAAGATCAAATAACCTTAACTTAAAGCATAAAAATAATTTTGAAAAAAAAAAGCATTAATTTTTACCATCATTTCTTCCTGTGGGGCCAGATGATTTTTGGCTGACAACCTTTTTCTGAGGACTTGGCTTTGATATTCCTTCAAAGCTTTTAAGAGGCCAAGAATTTGAGAAATTAACAGAATTATCCTGAGACTTCTTTGGAGACACAGTAAGAGCTGTGTGTTTTGGGCTAGTTCGAGGTGATGAGAAAGGATAGGATGGAAGGATGTAGGCTCCTGGACTTGGATTTGGGCCAGAGTATGATGAAGTACGCTCTGTTTGACTACCAAATGTTTGCTGTGTCTTACTGCCAAAATTTAGGCTAGGATACACTGTAATAAAACAAAAGAAAGTGCATTATTCCCACTAAGCTATACACCTGAAACCAATACAATACACAATTTAAAGAAATATAAGAAAATGTTCTCTCTCTCTCTCTCTCTCTCTCTCTCTCTATATATATATATATATATATATAAAACTTCTAACAGTTTTAAGATTTTTGCTTTTTACATTAAGGTTTTTCCCATCTGGCATTTAAATTTTTGTATAACAAACTTAAAAAAAAATCTTGTATATAATTACAAAATATATTTTTTTATTTTTGTATATAATTACAAAAATTTTTTGTATGGAGTGAGGTAACGATCTAATTTAATCTTTTTCTATATAGACGGTACAAGTTCCCAGTGCCACTTTTTGAGCCACCTGTTCTTTCCCTTTCATCGATAAATTTCCTATATATTATTTGGGTCTATTCTCAGATGCTTCTTAATGATTCCATTACTCTATTTATCTATGCCTATTATAAGGTTTTATTTATAACTGCATTATTTGATAAGTTCCCTTCCATTTTGGTCTTTTTAGAGTTATCTAGGCCACAGGGTTCAAAGTCATTTTCACCAAGGGCCATGTCAGCCTCATGGTTGCCTTCAAAGGGCCAAATGTAATTTTAGGACTGTATAAATGTAACTACTCCTTAACTAGGGGCAAGGAGCTCTACATTTGGCCCTTTGAAAGCAACCACGAGGCTAATGTGGCCCCCCGTGAAAATGAGTTTGAGACCCCTGATCTAAGCCATTCTTGACCCTCCTCCTTTTTCTCATATAAATTTCAAGATTAGCCTCTCAGGCTCTATAAAAGATCCTGTTGAGCCCTGGCTGGTGTAGCTCAGGGGATTGAGTGTGGGCCTGCAAACGAAAGGGTCACTGGTTCAATTCCCAGTCTAGTGCACATGCCTGGGTTGCAGGCCAGGTCCCCATTGGGAAGCATATGAGAGGCAACCACACACTGATGTTTCCCTCCCTTTCTTTCTCCCTCCTTTCCCCTCTCTAAAAATAGATGAGTAAAATCTTAAAAAAAAAAAAAAAAAAAAAGATCCTGTTGAGATTTTGCTTGAAATGACACTAAATTTACAGATTAATCTGGGAATAACTATCATTTCCCTGATACTGAGTCTCCCTACTTAAAAATACAGGATCTTAAAAAAAATATATACAGGATCTTTTCATTTACTCAGGTCTCTTTCCTGTCTCCCAAAGAAATATTTTAGTTATCATAATAAAGGATATGCAAATCTTTGTTAGATTTCCAAATATTAACACATCTTGCTGATATTACAATTCCTTAAAAACTACATTTTCTGATTTTATCAGCCAAGATGAGGCACAGGTAGATACACTTTGCTTCCTACACAACCAAAAGAAGAATAACAACCAATTTAAAAACAAAAACAACCAGAACTGCCAGAAAATAGAACTGTATTGAAGTCTGACAACCAAGAAGCTAAAGAAACATTCATCTAGACCAGTAGAAGGGGCACAACCAGGCAGCCAGGGTAGAGAGGATGTATAGAAAGGTGGTGGCTAGCCGACCTGGCAGGTGAGGCAGCAGCTAGCAGTCCAGGTAGTCCCACATCCAGGTATGGATAAGCCAGGAGGAACAACTGGGGAGTGAAACAAACTGTGCAACCCAGGGTTCCAGGACCAGGAAATAAAGCTTCAAACCTTTGGCTGTAAAAATCTGTGGGGGTTGTGGAGGCTGAAGAAATGGCCAGTCTCATAGGAGAGTCCCTTGGAGTAGCCACCAGGTCCTAGAATATAAACAAGCCCACCCACCCAGGAATCAGTGCAGCACCTCAAAGGGCTTAATTTGCTTATGGATAGTGGAGGAAGAGACTGAAAGCAGGGTGAGAGTCCAGAAAGCAGCACGGTTCCCTCTAGGACCCCTCCCCCACATACAGCCACGATGTAGGAAAGTCAGTTGCCCCACCCTGGCTCTCCCCCTTATAATCTAATTGGTGTGCCAAGACAAAGAAATATGGCCAAAATAAAAGAACAGATAAAAACTCCAGAAAAACAACTAAGTGATAAAGAGATAGCCAACCTATCAGATGCAGAGTTCAAAACACTAGTAATCAAGATGCTCACAGAAATGATTGAGTATGGTTGCAAAAACGGGGGAAAAGTGAAGGCTATAAAAAGTGAAATAAAGAAAAATATACAGGGAACCCACAGTGAAGGGAAGGAAAGTGGGACTCAAATCAATGGTTTGGAACAGAAGGAAGAAATAAACATTAAACCAGAATATAATGAATAAACAAGAATTCAAAAAAAAAAAATGAGGAGAGGTTTAGGAACCTCCAGGACAATTTTTAATGTTTCAACATCTGAATCACAGGGGTGCCAAAAGGAGAAGAGGAAGAGCAAGAAATTGAAAACTTATTTGAAAAAATATTAGAGGAAAACACCTCCAGTCTGATGAAAGAATTAGACACGCAAGTCTAGGAAACTCAAGAGTCCCAAAGAAGTTGGATCCAAGGAGAAACACACCAAGACCCATCATAATTAAGTTACCCAAGATTAAAGATTAAGGAAAGAATGTTAAAAGCAGTGAGAGAAAAAAAGACAGTTACCTACAAAGGAGTGCCCACAAGACTCTCAGCTGATTTCTCAAGAAAACCTTCCAGGCAAGAAGGGGATGGAAAAGAACTATTCAAAGTCATGAAAAGCAAGGATCTACATCCAATGTTACTCTATCCAGCAAACCTACCATTTAGAATGGAAGGGCAGATAAAGCGCTTCCCAGATAAGGTCAAAAGGAGTTCATCATCATGAAGCCCTTATTATATGAAATGTTAAAGGGGCTTACCTAAAAAAAAAAGATGATCAAAACTGTGAACAGTAAAATGGCAACAAACTCACAACTATTAACACCTGAACCTAAAACAAAAACAAACTAAGCAACCAACTAGAAGAGGAACAGAATCATAGAAATAGAGATCACATGTAGGGTTATCAACGGTGAGGGGACAGGTGAGAGAGGGGGAAAAGGTACAGGGAATAGGAAACATAAATGGTAGGTACAAAATAGACAGAGGGAGGTTAATAATAATATGGGAAATGGAGAAGCCAAAGAACTTGTATGTATGACCCATGGAGATGAACTAAGGAAGAAGGGGGAATGTTTGAGGGAGGTGGGATGCAGGGTGGAGGAGGGATAAAGGGGAGAAAAAATGGGACAACTGTAATAGTATAATCAATAAAATATACTTTAAAAAACCTACATTTTCTGAAAGTAGCTGATGTTCAGGAACTTTATTACACTTGGCAATCTTGCTCATTTATTTAATATTTTAATAGTTTTCTGTACATCCTTTAGGATTGTCTATGTAGATAATCTAATCATGATCATTATAATAGTGGTGTTATGATGATCATAACAATGAGCTAATGTCTATTGAGCTCTTACTATGTGGAAGTGATGCTCTAAGCATTTTATAAGTATTAACTAATTTAATCCTTACAAAAATGTGGGTATTATTTCTATTTTACAGATTTAAAAACAAAGTACAAAGGAATATCAAGTAAATTACTGAAAGTCACACTTAGGACATTATAAAACTGAGATATCAACCCCGCCATTTGGGCTCCCAAGCCTGTACCCTAAACCACTATATCATACCATGTTTTATCTGGGAATAATGAAAATTTTTGTTTCTCTCTCTCATCAACCTGTGTACTTTTAATTCTGAGCTAGGCATTCCTGAAATAGGTAACAGAATGACTATCAAATTTTTATGCTAATTTCCCCTTAAAATCCAGACTTAACATCAAAATGCCACTCGACATCTCTACAGAGACAGATGTCCTAAATATTACATATCCAAACAAAACTCTTGGTATCCAAGGCAGATCTATTCTTTTCCTCCTCTTCCTCTTCTTGGTAAATGGCAGTTCTATTCTTCAAGTTGCTCTGGTCAACAGCACTGGACTCATCCCTGGCTCCGCTCTTCTCTCGAACTTCATATCTAACACATTAACAAATCTCACTGGCTCTACATTGGCAATACAGGGTGATCACTAAATCTGGAAACTTAGATAAATACAGAATAAATGGCTTATTCATATTACATTATATCTGTAAAATAGTTACAGATGTTTCCAACTTTGCAGCCACTTCATCTATCAGAACCCAAACACTTTTCAACACTTTCACTGCATCTTCTCTAATACAAACCATGTCATCTCTCACCTTTACAATTGCCATAACTCCCTAATTCATTTGCTTTGCACTCACCACCACTCCTGCAAGGCCTATTCTCTACAAAGCAGCTCTGATCCTTTTAAAAGGCAGTCAAGCCCTGGCTGGTGTAGCTCAGTGGATTGAGCGCGGGCCTGCGAACCAAACAACTGCGGTTGGATTCCCAGTCAGGGCACCTGCCAGGGTTGTGGGCCAGGTCCCCAGTAGGGAACACATGAGAGGCAACCATACATTGATATTTCTCTCTCTCTCTCCTTCCCTTCCCCTCTAAAGATAAATAAATGAAATCTTAAAACAAAAAAAGGCAGTCAGATGAAGCTGTTTCTCCTCTCAAAAACCTCCAATGACTTCCCAACTCACTCAGACTAAAATCCCAAATTCTTACCATGCCCTACAGGGCCACATGTTAAGTCCTAAAATCATTCTGCCCCTTAGTCACTCCACTGACATTCCTGCTTTTTATTCCTAGAAAAAGGCCAAATATGGCCTTATTTCAGAGCACTGGTACATTGTTGTTCTCAATGCCTGGAATGTTCTTTCTCCACATTCCTACGTGGTCTAATGCTTCACATCGTTGAGGTTTCTGTTTCAATGTTCTCACTTCAGAAAGTCCTTCCCTCTCACATTCCGTCCCCTCACACTATCTTATTTTTTTCAAAGCACTTATTTCCATTCTTACTGCTCATTAATTATCTTCTCTTTTAGATTTCGATCTTTAGATTTTTGAACAATGTCTAGTCTCAATTAGAGGAATTAATAATAAATTAGTGCTCAATAGCAATGGTAACAG